AATCATTTTGGCCACTCAGATTTTTAGCACTACTTGCGGTTTCCAGTTTTGTGGTTTCCAATTCGGAGAGTGGCGTTGGTTGATTTTTTTTTTTAAATTGTCCTTATTGTTCTTAGCGTTAATAGTGCCTTTCCATGAGATAACATGCCTCTTCCTACTACATTCGCCTTCGGTTTAAGTCTAATCTTTTAATGAGGCGAACCACCCTTGTCCGCTCGTTTGCTTTCAGCTTGAAATGTTGCCTTTCACGGTTGTAAGCCGCCTTTGGGCCCTTGTCAGGGAGAAAGGCGGGGTCAACATGTTTGAAAGAAGTCGAGAAACAGTGACGCTCTAACCTCGGGTGTGTCTGTGTGTGAGGGTTTTTTTTTAAAAAAAAAATTTGGACGGTCGTTTTGAAAGCAGTAACAAGGCTTCTGCACCCTGGCCTTAAATCCGAGGGCTGGACCAAGGAATGCTTGGCGTGGGCTTGTTAGGTACCCTAAATCAGAGTGTGCTTTTTTTTCTTTTGATGATTCATTACTTTCTGAGCTTTTCAGAGCTGGGCCTATCTTTGGTCAAGGGGCTTCTTCTGCCTGAAATTGTGACCTTCCAAAAAGTCATCAACAGCCGGGCTCAGCTCTCGCCAACGCAAAGCCATGCCCCCCCCGGGAGTCGGTTATGTACCTTACTGGTTGTTAAGGTAGATAATAAAATGGAAACAGGAAATAATTCTGTTGGTTTAAATAGAAAAAGGTGAAAGTGCCTTAAAATACAAAGCCCCACATGCCAGTATCTGTATTGTTGATTACTGATCAGTTTTCTAAGATTTTTGCAATACAGTTGCATCAGTGCTTGTTTAGAAGCCCCAGTGTGAAGATTTAATTTCACGTTAAAATAGCAGGGGTGGGGTGGCTTGCTAACCTTGGGAACTTAGCGTGTGACTTTCAGCTACAGTACATACACTTTCCATTCTTCAAAAGGATTTTTTCCCTTAATGACAATTTCACCAAAAACCCTAAACTGAATTCTAGAAGTCATCCTTTTTTTGGAAACAATAGGCACTATCGCGCTTTTAATTAACATGGTGTGGAAAGATTTTAGTTTTAATTCCTTCCCCCTTAGATCTTTCTACTGTCACAGAGAAACAAAAGAGGCTATTTACACTGTTTTTAAAGTATACATTTAATTCACAAACATACGCTGCACATTTAATGTAGATAAACATAAGGCGGGAAAAATAAACAAAATTAGGTAAGCATAGAAGGGCATATGGTATGTTTCTCCAAATAAACAAAAATTAACATTTGTGTGGATGTGTTTGCCTGCAGTGCCAGATACCACTTTCAGTTTAACAGTTCTGTGGCACTATTATAGTGGCACTGAGGCTGATACACACATTTTAATCACTTAAATGCTGGAATCAGGAGATTTTAATGTAAATGTAATACTGTATTAAGAATCTTAGAACTGCAGAGTTGGAAGGGACCCTCTGGATCATCAAGTCCAACCCATGTCAAGAAGGCAGTGTGGAATCGAACTCCCAACCTCTAGCTCTGTAGCCAGATGCCTAAACCACTTGTATTAATACACTGTTTATTTCAGGAACCTTCAGGTAATTGCAAATAATTACTCTTTGCTATTGACTTTTCAATATTAATGTTCAGTGACAAAGTTGATTAAGTAAAGCCTTCTGCACATATATCAACACCCTGAAAGCAAGATATTTCATCTTATCAGATGCCATTGTCTGCACAGAAAGGAAAACCAACCCTGTGACTGTTTTTTTTAAACAAAACTACAAAGCTTCAATCTAGTTTTTAAAAATAAACTTTTTTTTCAGAATTCACCTAATTTCCAGCTGTGACCTAATGTTCTGTTCCTACCATGATATTTATAGTAGATTCCATTTGTATTGTACAGTGGACCCTTGACTTACAGACGGCTTGACTTACAGACTTTTTGAGTTACAGACTTCTCTGGCCGCAAAATTTAGGTTTGACTTGCAGACTGAGATTTGACTTACAGACCAGAAAAAAACCAAAATGGAACAAAAACGGCCTGTTACCCGGGATTAATCGTTTTCAATGCACTGTAGGTCAATGGAGACTTGACTTACAGACTTTTTGACTTGAGAACCGCCTTCCAATACGGATTAAGTTCTCAAGTCAAGACCCCACTGTACTACAATTCTAATCCTTTGTTCAAAGGATATTATTAATCATGTCTATGAGAAATACATGGGAGACTAAATAAAATGTATGGGGTGGAAGCCCTAACTACTGTATTTATGTTCTGAATCACTCTTATTGTGGCATGACCCTCATAATCAATATATATTTTCTCCATCAGGTGTGAAAAAAATTATTTCTTATCTTATGGTTAGAATTCTATCACAGTTACATATCACTGAAAATTATGCTTACGATGCAGTTATGACATCTCTAACATGTAGTTTCTCCCATTTTACTGTCTTTGACAAAATGTCTATATTAGCTTCCTGTACTCATGTCTCATCCCATACTGCTTGCCAAATATTGAAAAGAAATTATGGTAAACCTATAGAAAAACAGTAATCCTTAGATAAGGAAAATATCTACTTCAGTAAAACAGGTGGCATAATTGCAGAAGTATGGAATCAAATACCAGCAAAAAGAAATTATTTTTGCCCAAAGTTATGCAGTAATCAGTTTCCAAGGTAACAGGTGAGCCAAAAAGTGATTTGCTAGTGTCAAATATATGTTTTGGATTAAATCATGCAGTCAGATTATATGCAAGACTTCATAATTAAGAAAGAACTTTCATTGTGTCCCCTGTGGCTTATTCCAGCTAAGTGTGCATAAGATTACAGCCTATGTGTCAACACTATCTCATTTCTATGGTCTAAAATATCTAATATCTATCCCTGAGTAACATTAGCTTGCAAATGCAGACACAGATGGCAGTCCTTGCTATATAACCTTCTTAATTCTCCCTAATCATCCAGAACCTAAACTTCTAGGAATAAGTTTTTGAAGTATTTTTTTACTTCATTAGATATTTACTAGGTCCTATATTTAATAACTAACTCCCCATCTCCAGCTCTACCCCACACTGCTCTGGGAACACTGTACAGTGGTGCCTCGCTTAGCGATGTTAATTTGTGCAGAAAAAATCACTGTTAAGTAATAACATCACTAAGCAAAAATAAAAAACCCATAGAAACGCATTAAAACGCAATTAATTCGTTCCTATGGGCTTAAAACTCATCTTTAAGTGAAGATCCTCCATAGCCGCCATTTTTGGTGCGTCTAAAGTGAGGCGTCCGTGCCTGAAAACAGCGGGCGGCCATTTTGTTTACCCGGTGGCCATTTTGAAACCGCATGATCAGCTTGGTGAAAATGGGGGCTTTGCGATGATCGCTTCCCTGCGATCATCGCAATGCGAAATATCCCCATAGGGAACATCGCAAAGCGATCGTTTTTGCGATCGCAAAAACAGCGTCGCTGAGCGATTTCGTTGCTATACGGAGCGATCGCTATGTGAGGCACCACTGTAAATTGATTTTAACTAGGCATGTTTCAAAATTAACACATTCAATAAACAAGAGCTGCAGTATCACACAAAGTTTTGAAATGTTGTTTAACTCAGATACATAGCAGAAGTGCATCAATTTAGAGAGAATAGCTACAGTTTTTCACATAGTCCACCCCTCTCTCATTAACTGGCACTTACAGTCTCAACAACTTACTTTGAGACATTAGTAATATAAAGAATAAAAATTTCATTTACTGACAATTGTGACTATATCAACAAAAAAACTAACAAACATGACTGCATTTAACAACTCTGTTTCAATAGACTTACAGAAAACTTTACTAACCAACATCAAAGGCATTAACACTCTTTGAGGAATAAGAACTCTTAGTACAGCAAAGCGGCTTTCTTTGAATTCTGAGAAAGGAGAGAATGATTGGCTAGTGTTGGATAGATCAACAATCACCACAGGCTAGAAAGATCTCTCTCAAACAAACTGCAGGCAGCATGCAAAACTGCAAAAACTCCAACAGTATCTATCCAACAATATCTATTGGCCCACAAGAATGGTCAAAGGATCTTTCCTCTGCTGTGAAGGCTTATATGACCCATGCCTTCTGTTTTGATTTACAATGTAAAAAGCATGCCCTCTTAGTTTAGACCCCAACAAAGTATGTGAGACCCTCCCCCAGTACATCTCCTAACATTGCACACAATCTTTCAGTTTCAGCAAGGGGTTATAGATGATCCCGTTGACTTTAGTAGAGTTATACTAAAATAAGTGGTTTTAGGACAGCAAATTATTCTCTTGTTAACCAATTATGTTATACATACAAAGGCCACACATGCATAAAATTGCCCCTCTTTTGGCTAAACAATTATTTTCTGATGATTTCCAGTTGGTGGACATTTCTGTTCATATCCTTTAGATATCTGTAAAATAACACAAGATACATCATTTGAACTAGTAAATATGAATTCATCATGTTGAGCAAAATATATCTGAAATCAATATATCTGAAATCTACGTATCAGTTTCCAGTTATTATAAGTACTGTAACTGGTTTCCAGTATAATGCAAGAATCCACCACAACCCTATGTGAAATAATTACCATGTCCCATTTTTTATCAGAGGTGATAATTATAGTGGTGGATGATGTGGAGATCAAATACTGCCTTTTCTGTAACTCCCAATGAGGAAAAGGTGGCCGTAGCTCTGCCTGTGTCTTGGAAATGGACACAGAAGATGTCTGAAGGTAGATTTAGGGTCACATGAGGCCCTGCAAGGGTGAAATGCCCTCAAGGATATTCTAGCTCAGCGGTCCCCAACCTTTTTGGGACCGTGGACCTGTTGGGGAGTGCGGGCTGCATATGCGGGTATGTGCAGTAACTCCATCTACCTCTTTAGAGAGAAAATGGAGCCCTTCGCCACAAACAAGGCCCACAAAATGGCTGGCCTGCAAAGGATCAATTGCTAGTCAGGGCCTGTCACTGATCATGAAGCCCTTAAGAGTTTGAAACTTGGGGGGGGGGGTTCATGTACACAGACTGTTCTGGAAAATACAAGAGACATTCCAAAACCATTCTTACCTCCAGTGAAAAACACACAAGTCTTTTTACATTCTTCTTCAGTATTAAATCGATTATCATTTCCATCACAGCCGCCGTACCAAAACTGAGCACAAGAATTGGCTTGCTTATCATAATACCATTTTATTATATATACTCGGCACGGTCCTTGATCTAATCTTAATTTACACCTGGGAGGACTCAGGATGTTTTCTTTAAAAAACAGAACATACAGGTTTTCAGTGTGATAATTTACAAAAATAATTATGGCAATAAAAGGGAAATTTAAAGAATCAAGCTTATGCTACCGCTTAAATCTAAAGAGCTGATGGCAGCTATGTAGTCTAAAAACTGTTTTCAAATTGTCAAGTTCTTGGTCATAAATTCCCCATAAGTACAAAAGTCATAGTTGGAAAAGCCCGAGTAGGTAGGTCTGGGCTTTGCATATATTTGCCTTTCAGGAAAGCCCAGCATTTGAAACTCTTCAGGACATCAAGAATGATTTCCAGTATGGCAAAATAGTAGTTTAAAGCAAAAAGGCAATTTTAGAAAGCCACAGTGGGTTGAAAGAGTTAGGCCCTGTAGATATGATATATGGATTGGTGATGGCATGATTTCAGGTATGATATATGGATTGCTGATGGCATGATTTCAGGGAGAAAGAAATTGTCTGGAAGGTTTTCTACTTAGAACGAGCCATCCTTCCCCTTTAATAGCTGTCACACACCTTTCTGGGTCAGTGGGAGGGCATGCATTCTTTTCGCATGATCGTTTTGTAGAGGGCATGCATTCTTTTTCGCATGCTCATTTTGTAGCCTGGAGATCACCTCCTGCCATTGTAACTTCAGATTTGGAGGAAGAATCAGTGAGGGGAAGGGGGGAAGGAAGAAAACGGACAGAGGAGCAATATATAAACATAATTTAACTTCCCCTAACCCTCAGCAGATGATCAGGGGAAGTGCTTAATTGATATGACTGGGCTACAAGGGTTTGTTTGCTATTTAGATGAAAGGAGCATGCTAAAGAGCACATTGCTCCTCCCCTAACCTCAACAGACACTTTGTAGCCCATTCCATCCCACACCTAAAACAGCTACTCTGGACAGGCCTTTAGTCATATGGGTTGCTGGATTAGGGTTGATAAACAGAAATGTTAATTATTATGCCTGGAACGGGGCATGAGATGGAGAAGTGGGGGCATTAATCACACACAGTCCAACATTCTTTTGTTTAGTGTAGCAAATTGCACTAGAGTAGACCTGTTGAATCAATAGGGGATTGGTGCGTCTACTCCTCCATAAATTCTAGTATTCAAATGGGCATACTCTGACTTACTTTAGCATAGCTAAAGGTTACCCTTGACATTTAGTCCAGTCGTGTCTGATTCTAGGGCTCGGTGCTCATCCCTGTCTCCAAGCCTTAGAGCCAGCATTTGTCCGTAGACAGTTTCCATGGTCATATGGCCAGCATGACTAGACACGGGACGCTGTTACCTTCCCACCGTGGTGGTACCTATTTATCTACTTGCATTTGCATTCTTTTGAACTGTTAAGTTGGCAGGAGCTGGGAGAAGTGACGGGAGCTCACTCCGTCATGTGGATTCGATCTTGCGACTGCAGGTCTTCCAACCTTCCAGCGGAGCTGGGAGAAGTGACGGGAGCTCACTCGTCATGTGGATTTGATCTTGCGACTGCAGGTCTTTCAACCTTCCAGCGCAGAGTCTTCTGCGGTTTAACCCACAGCGCCACCACATCCCTGACCTTACTTTAGAATAGCAAGTCACAGTTAGAAGAAGCCCATTTGAATCAATGGAACTCACAGAGGAGTTGTCTCCTTAAATCTCCATCAATTCAATGTGAATACAGTACAGTACTTTAGAGTGATTTACTCTGCTAGTCAACAGAATTTTGGCCACTGTCATGACTGGATAAACATGAACACAACTTCTTTTGACGACAGTTCACAGTCTTGTTGTTTTGATGTGGCACAAGGCAAGGATTCCAACTACCAGTTAATCCCCAACCTGGGTGCTAGGGATGACCCGGGAAATGGCAAAAGTCATGGATGCACCATAGCATGGACTGCTAACAAAGTTACTTCCTGCAAGGTATGTGTGTAACAGGCCAATCTGATCTGAGCCTTGAAGCCTCACCTCAAGGATCCTTATGGAAGCTAGAGAGGCTACTGTTCTCATGGCATACCTTCTGTTTAAAAATTTGCTACAAGATGATGGCTTTTAGTTGTATTATAATTTTCTTTCAGCGTTGTAATTTTTGTCATTAGCACTTTTATCCATGAAGAACCGGAGAGAATTCTCTTTAGAAGTACCCTAATATCTTAAAAAGAGAGGCTCTCCGCTCTGTCTGTGAGCATTATAATTGTTTTACTACTGTATCCTGGGATGGAAATAACTTCCTAGAGTTATAATCTCCAAGCAGAGATAAAAGATGTAAAGGGCTGCAATTAGAGACAGTTCATCACACAGCTCTGACAACAAAGCCCTCCTCATGCCCCTGCACGCTTTTGTTGTTTTATTCATGCACTTTCCTATACCCGTAAATGAAACCCTAGATCAGCTCAACACAGAAGTTGCCACTTGCCATGGGCTGCTATCGTAAAGAGAGAGAGAGATGCTCTAAGCGGCACAGATATAATTCAGAATGTACTGCTCTTGGCTCCATACACACCGTCTATACCTCTTGGAAACAGAAAGAAACCTCCTGCTATGGCTGATTTCCCTATCTTCTTTTTTCTTTGTTATGATTTTTCCAGTTTCTGCAAACAGGCTAGCTGCCAATTGACAGGTAAGGACCTTTTCCTACTTCTGGGATTAAGGTGTTATGGGGCTTTACTTTCCTCTTTGTTAGTTGCGTTCCATGTTTGGTTACCTTTCTGACAGCCTCTTGATCATGGGTCCTAGAGGCCAAATCCATCCAGGGTAAAGCAGGATGACAGAGCCCTCACTCCCCAGAAAAGAGCTCTGCACAAACTCTGCATAAAGACTTTGTCCAACCTGGAAGCTGACCAGCTGATCCAATGTCTAGGTAGTAGAAGACACTTGCACGAGTGGCCCATGCCATGAGAGGCTCTAGATTCCTGGCCTGATATTAACCCAGCACATGAACCAGGACAGAGAACTGATTGCATCCTTCCTCCATGCTATGCCCAGTCTGTGTAAACTGTAGTCAGCAAAAGTGGTGGTCAGTTTCAGCTGAAGACCTCTTAAGAGTATTTGTGGGTGCTTTTTCTATAAGTGGAACCCACCAGTTCACATGGAGCCACAGAAAACAAGCTGGCTCCTCCTTGCCCATAACAGCCCTTCAGATATTTGAAGATGCCTGACATATCACCTATCAATATTTTATTCTGCAGGCTAAACAGAGCTAACTCCCTCAACCATTCCTCATAGCACTTGGCTTCCAGACCTTTAATTGTCTAGATTGGCATCCTCCAGAAGTATTCCAGGTTGTTAGGATTCTTTGTGGTGATCAGAACAGTGTTCAGATAAGATCTGACCAGGCAGGTATAGAGTAACACCTGGATACTATACTTCTCTAAATGTGTCCTAGAAGTGCATTAAGTATTTTTTGGTTTGGTGTGGATTTTTGACTGTAGCATCACTGTATCATGTTTAGCCTGGGGTCTATTAATATCCCTAGATCCTTTTTGCATATACTACTGCCAAACCATGTAACCCATCCTACATTTGTGCATCTGATTTTTTTCCTGCTTAAATACAGAAGTTTATATTTTTTTTCCCTTCTTGATATTCATTTTGTGCATTTTGGCCCAGACCTCCAATCTATGGGCTAAACCACAGAAGCCTGTGCTGCAGGGTCAGAAGACCAGCAGTTGTAAGATCGAATCCACGCGATGGAGTGAGCTCCCGTCGCTTTGTCCCAGCTCCTCACCAACCTAGCAGTTCGAAAGCATGCATATGTGAGTAGATAAATAGGTACCACCTCGGTGGGAAAGTAAAATGGCGTTCCCTAGTCACGCTGGCCACGTGGCAATGGAAACTGTCTTCAGACAAGCGCTGGCTCTATGGCTTGAAAATGGGATGAGCACCACCCCCTAGAGTCAGACACGACTGGACTAAAATGTCAAGGGGAACCTTTACCTTTACCTTTACTCACATCATAAAACTAAATAACACAAGAATTTGTTTAGAATTTGTTACTACAGCTGTGTATGCACATAAAGGCAGTATATTTAAAAACTATATGTGTAATGACCTGATTTTGGCATAGGTGGTGTTGAAGGAGCCGATGAATGAGATGGTGAAAGCATTTTTTCTGCTGTAAGAGATGGCAGTGGTGGTGGTGGTGGGGATGAAGATGAAGATGATGTAGGCAGAGATGGTAATGCTGATGGGATTGCTGCAGGACACAATGTTAAAAAGGAAACATGAAAAAAATAGATTTTCTTTGACCTCTGACATGTCCACTAAAGAATGAAAACACTTAATTACCTTTGCTATTAGCCAGAGACAAGAATCGGAGATCATCCCCATCAGGTTCCACATTATAGTTCTCATGAAATATCTTGTGTGATTCTTTTTCCTGAAATACATTCAGTTTGGTAAAATTTTAAATTTCAGTGGACTTTCCATCAATAAATCCAGTGTTAACATAGAAGCAAAACACATTCCACTGTATTTAAATTTCACCCTTAAATCTGAGGCTGCAAGTTTCAAGCTCAAGAAGAGAATGTAGGTCCTAGAATATAAAAATAATATGTTTTGGCCTAGAGAACTACCAAGGACCAACCAGATGGTTTCAGACTTGAAATTACAATACATATTATTAAACTAACAATGTTGGAATTAACTTTAATTTTCCATTATCATTGCCAAGGTGTGTGGCTATGTGAACACAGGCCCCCTCTGTGCAGCGTTCATCCTCTGCGCACCCAGAGCAATAGTTTCCAGCCCCTTTGGTTCCAGTCACAACGGAACTCTGTGGGGGCGGAGTCATGCGCCTGAGGGGCGGAGCCCCACCCAGTGAGGCTGAAAAATAGAGAGAACACTGATCATTGCCCTACCCTGATACCTTACTGAAAATATGTATTCAGATTTAAGATACTGGGATGCGAAGCCAGCTCTCTAAAAGTGATTACCGGGATTAATGGTTGAGAAAGCTGGCCGAGGTTTACAGAGTTCTCCCTCACGGATGTCTCATATGCATTTGAAGAAACCGACTGTCCATGACTATTCGTGTGCAATATGTATTGTGAAGAACGAGAAGACACTGAGTGGATAGATGGTCCGTTTATGCTTCCTCCATTTCCGAGTCGGTTATATATTAAAGCACCATGTTCATCTTCACAGAACTGATTAACAAGTTTGGACTCCAAAGCTTTAAGAAAAGAACATAATATAATGCTCATTAAAAGTCTGTTTCTTAAAATATAGAAATGTCAGTCAAGGAATCAGGTTATTCGAGCAATTTTGACAATATTTCCATTAAAAAAAATCAAAGCGGCAATTGTTTCTTTGTTGCTGGGACTGCACTCATAATGTTAATTTGTACACCAAACCCTGCTCTAAGTGAAAATAAGCAACTGCCTCCTTTGCTTTCTAAGGGCTGGAAGACATGAACAGGTCCCCAGCCAAAAAACATGAGGTGGAGCCTTTCCACCCATCACTTCATCTGGGGACCTGGTTTCGGTCAATCTCCCCCATGGGGATGAAAACAAAGAGGAGCAAAAGGGTATCATTGTTCATTTACAGGCGCCAGATGAAACATGCCAATGTCCACGGCCTCCCTCTTCCTCAAAGAGCAGCAAAGTGTCCCAGAATTCTCACTGTTCTTTTCCATCGATCAGTCAGATTCCTCTCCTTTGCTACCCCCAGCCTAAAGAGGGAGAGACTTGGAGAAGGAGCATGCAGCCTCCATAAACCAGACTAGACAAACATGCTGATGATGCCCATATTCCCTTCTAAAGAAAATAAAGGTGAAATTAATTCATCATTAATTTTCAGTATGGGAGAAGGGTAGCACATGTATATCAAAAAGATCTGACCGCATTTTACCCTACCCAAAATGACGTTCATGGTCCTGAATCAAGACGCGGAGCAACTGGAGAAGAACAGCTCATTGGAAGGATTAGATCCGCTCCTTCCTGAGTGCATCTGCAAGAGTGGATCTCAGAACCTGGCCAAGAAATGCCTATGAGTGGATCATGGACTGCACGGAATATAGGAAATAGCTGAAGAGTGCCGTCTGAAAAAGTCCCCTCAACTCCATACCCTAGAATGGCGCAGGCAACTGTCTGGCTCTCCAGATCACAGCTCCCACAGTCTATTGCTCTGGGTCCTGCTAAGTGAGACCGATGGAAACTGCAGGCTAAAGTACCTGGAGCATCAAAGGTTCCCCGGTCTTGACCAAGAAGATGCCAAAGGTAGCACCAAAAGGCTTTGGATGTCGAAATGACAATGCTCTAATAGTTGCAGGAAACCAATCCTGAGATAAATCTGTGCCTTCCCTCTCAGTGGAGGGCTGCTGGCTGTGGTTCTGAACTCTAGCTGCCAAATTCAGGAGGAGCACCCCCGTCCCTAGGTAGGCTCCTACCAAGCACCAAGTCTGCTTCAGAAATCCAGGCCAACTCATCTACATCTCAGCTGGGACTGTCACCCATTATTGATAGAACTGGTGATGGCTCAGGGCAGCAAAAGAGTCCTACATACACAGCACTTGTGTTTTAAAATTATTTCGCTGGGATGTGCTGTCTCCTGCATGGTGGACCAAAATTTGGATGATCCTGAGCTAAAAATGGATTGAATTGCAGCTTTAAAATTAAAATCTCAGATCTGGGAGTGTTTCTGGTCAGACTCTTAATACAATCATTGTCGCATAAGAAACTGACTTTTAAGGCACTTGGACAAAGGGGCATTCAGAACCACCTTGGGCAAGCTTACATCAGGTATTCGTAACAAGGATCTCCTCTTGCCTAACAGCCATGCTTGCACACAAATGTGATATGTTGTGTTACTGCACCGGTAGAGTATCCTGGTCTGTCTTCTTCATACCCAGTTCTTTGTATAGAAGCAGCAAAAGCAATTCACTTTACATGCAGCTAGTGTCCTCCTGTTTACCCTCCAGTGATAGTTGTTGCCCAAGTCCTATTTGAAACAGTCTTGATCAGCTCCATACTTGTTTTATAATTGTTTATTTTTTTATACCCTGTCTTTCCTAAAAGGAGCTCAAGGTGCTATACATAGTTCACTCTCCTCCTCCATTTCGATCGTCACGACCACCTTATCAGGGGCAACGACAGGGAGCAACCTAAGGTTATACAGCTAGATTCATGTCTCACTGAGGATTTGGATCTGCTGACCCCAGTCACAGTGGCACTCTAACAACTTCACCACTAGAATGAATAGAATGAAATAGAGAATCCAGTTGTGTGTGTATATGGGACTGTTCTGTTGCACATGTTTCCTATATTATGCCACCTGCCTCCACTGTGCCTGTTTCTAGACCACAGTCAGCAACATGGTGTCCTACAGATGTTCCAGTCTACAATGCCCATAAACCACAGCCAACATGGGCAACAATCAAAGATTATGGAAGTTAAACTCCATCCTATCATCTCCCTATCATCTACAGCATAGAGCAGAGGGGGTATATTCATTGAGTTGAGACACCAGGTCCGATAAACCTGTAGGTGACCTGTAGAATGGCAAATCATTTCAGAGACAGGCTTTGCATGCTCACCTGGAAGAGTATTAAAATCGTCTATGAGGTACATGTGTTCTCTGTCAGGGTCTGATGCAATCAGATTCAGCTCACGTAAGAACTCAACCTGTGTTGGATCCGAAGTATTGACGATTCCAATGGCATACATTTCAATGTTGGCTGCGTGAGCCTCCCGGACTGCGATATCCAGTTTAACAGCTTCTCTCTTATCTGCTTGACCATCTGTTAGCACGATGGCAACTTTCCTCACGCCAGTCCGAGCCCCAAAAAACCCTTCCTGTGTTGCTTTGCGGATGGCAGTTCCCGTGTAGGTGCCTTCTCCCATATACAACATTTTCCTGATCGCTTGCTTCACATCCTGCTGGGCGGTGTATCTATTCAGTCCAAACTCGAGCCGAACCTCCAGACTGTAGAGGACGAGACCGATCCTGGTAGCGTTTCTCCCCACGGTGACTCGGTCTACTAAAGCAGTCACAAAGTCTTTGATTATTTCAAAGTTTTCAGGGCCAACGCTTTCTGAGCTGTCAATCACAAACACAAGCTCCATAGGTATCTCCTTGCACTTAATTCCACAGCCTGCAAAAAAAGAAAAAGAAAAAAAATGAAGGCAGCAAACCTTGAGTCTTTGAGATAGTATGAAAGCAACCCATAGCATCATTCTTACCTCTTAGGCATATGGCATATGAACCTTACCACATTGCTAAAACCCTTCATAACAATTTGCTATGAAAACCTTACATTCTTTATAGATCACCTGGAAACAGGAGACAGGAGGAAACAGAACCCAGAAAAGTACTTCGACAGTTACAATATCAAAATGACAAGGTTCATTGCAAACTTACCACATATCTCTTTAATTAATTTAATGATATCTTCTCTCTGGGTTAGAAAAGACAGTTTAAGTTTACATATATACATTATCAGACAAATATTTTATTTCCATTGTTCTTTAACATAGTGGTCATTAGTTACTTATACCAGGGGTGAATTGCCACTACTGTATTTTTCTGTGTATAAGACACCCACATATATAAGACGCCCCCACTTTTCTAACCCAAAATTAAGAAATCTAAGTGGGGCTTAGCAAATGTAGAGGGAAAGGGATCAAAGCACTGCAGGATCGCTTTGCTCCCTGCTTTCCCCTCAACTTGTTTTTTCTCTCCTCAGCTTACTTCCGTATATAAGACAACCCTCAATTTTAGTCTAAAGATTTTAGACAAAAGTATAGTCTTATAGATGGAAAAATACGGCATTTAACAAGTTACTGCTTGTATTCTTCACTGTGTCAGCACCAACTCACAAGCTGGGTGCCTTTTGAGAAAGATAGGTGATAACTTGTTAAGCCAGCAATGGTGTGTGTGTTAATTAGCAGCAGTGGCAGGTAATCTCTCTCTCTCTCTCTCTCTCTCTCTCACAAACACACACACACACACACACACACACACACAATATCCTGGTCCACAAGCTACCCATGACTAGCAGCAATTTCCTGCTGCAATTCATGCCGTTGCCCTTGTGCCGGTTGGCATGGCTGGCATCTACCAAGCATATATGACAGTCAGTCATTTGTTATAGTTAGGGGAATTGCCAATATTTTTTACACAGTGGAAGTTACACACATGAAAAATTGATTCATTCAGTCAATAACTAAAGGCTCCATTGTACCCTCACAGCTCAGAAAGCCTTTGTAACACATGTAAAGACCTCTTAGAAGTATCTGTAACAAATTTTGTGCAGGCAGAGGAATGTACCTCCAGAGAAATGCTTCCCTTGGTTTATTAAAAATGCAATTTATTTCCCTAGTGAGGACATTTTAATGTGTGTGGGGAACCTCTCCACAAGATGTACTTCATTAAGGATTGCCCATCAGAGCCAATTACCTTTCCACTCACAAATACTTTTCTTTCAATTGAAATATACTTTGTTTGTTGTCCCACTGCACACATAGATTAGGTGAGGGGAATCTCTTTGAGCCCAAGGCTACATTTTCTTGTGGATCATCTTCCCGAAACCACATCCAAGAGGTAAATGGCTTCCTGGACAAAAAATAAGCCGAGTCCAACAAAAAGTGGCCAGGTTCATTACTCTCTTTGTTTCCCTCCCTCACTTTCCTGTCAGGCTAGAAACAGACTGATGAATGGAAAAGAGAAATTCTCAACTAATGAGAGCATATGAATATCACAGCAGCAATTTCTTAAACCTCCAGGATTATGCAAATCGCTTTGCTTTGTTATGTGATTAGTTGTCAGGATTTAAGGATTCCTTTAAAAACACATACACTTCTCTTCATGCACTTACCGGTATGTTCTCTTGCAATCCTTAACCCTATTCAGGTATAGTTTGATTATAGTAAACAGGATGAAAACTGATGATGTGGGCATGTATGTGTATGTAAGCACTGTCCTTCAACATCACCAAGCACCTGAAAGTAAGTTAGACCTCTCTGCACACTGAGCATAAAGGTCTGAAGAGGGTTCTGCAACCCTGTTGGGTTGAAGGCAGTTGCAGGACTCTTCTGACTGGAAATGTACGACTTCTCGGGCATGGCTGGTCCCCCTTCCCCCCCAAATGAAAGCACCCTGTTTTAGTTGCTTTATATGGCATGAAATGTTCTCTGTGCTCTTTCTTTTTATTTACTGCAAAGGAATCATCTTAACCACATTAAAGATTAAACATCAGTGTGCTTTCTTGATGCATTTCCTATGCAAATACAGTATTCCGTCCCCCACCTGGCCCCTTTCACTTATGCCAAGCCACACAATCCTTTAATGCACAATTGAATTTTATTCTGAAAGATTATTTGCTTACTGTAAGGCCTTGCTCGCCCTTTGGTCCAGTTCTGCCCTGAAATATTAATCACTGAATTAGTCATTCCCAATCTGCATGTTTTGATGTATCAGCTGCTGGACTGAAAAATGTTATGCATAAATATTGCAATAGACGTAGGTTACAAAAGAGTTGTGCCCACTCTGGTCTTCTCATTGATCAAAATGGGGAGGGTACATAATCCCAAAAGTTCAGGTGGTGAAGGGTGCCTATCCTTTTCTGACTACGTTTGAGGCTGGAAGCAGCTGGCTAGATTAAACAGGATCTTTACGTACCCTTAGTGCCAGGTATTTTAATCATTTACAATGGTCCTAACCTTTTAATTTTTAAAAAAAGAAAAGCGGGTTCTGACTGGGGGAATTTTTAGAAGAGAACATTACTAACGTAATGCCCTTCCTGTCTGCAGCTTCTTTGCTCTAGGTTGCCCATCTCCCTGCAGTTTTTCTTTAAGAGTTTCAAAGATGTGCAGACTTATGTGCTCAAGTAAAAAAAAATCCAATTGAAAACATTGTTTGTGTGTGTGTTTTAATATACATTAGTTGCACAAGGTATTTGCCTCTTAGTGAGACTCTAATTATGGAGGGACAGAACTTCATTAAAAACATCATAGGCATCCTTCAGTCTCGAGAGACTATGGTAACGTGCTCTGTATGGAGCACTTGGAAGAACGTCTAGTGTTTTGACGCTGTACGCGAAGCTGGAGTGTCCTCTCCATGGTATGAAGCATGGGTAAAATAATATGGAGGATAGACTGTTACCCAAGCAGCAAATCCCCCCTCTCCCCGAATAGTCCAATGGAAAGGCAAGAGCGAATACAACTGGTTCCAGCAATGTCAGTAGATTCATTGAATCTAGACAGGCAGGGTAAAAAACGGAAAATAAATAAAATAAAATAAAATAAATAAGTCCAAATGCATTTTTGGAGCAAAAATTAATATAAGATCCTGTCTTATTTTCAGGAAAACACCATACTTATCTTTAATTTCTGGTCTAATATCCATTTTGTGTGTACTACTGCCAGACTAGTTATCGCCCACTCTTATATTATTTCTCCTGCCTGAATTTAGAACTTCGTATTTATCCCTTCTGAAAGTGATCTGGACTGATTCTTCTATCTGTTAAGAACTTCTTGAAACCTGTTTCTATCTTCTGTCTTATTTCCTTCCCACTCCTGGTTTCCTTACCTAGTGCCATCTACCCAACACCTCAATAATATGCACAGCCAATGCCTCATTAGTTTCCCCTCCTAGTACTGTGTCATCTACAAATCTAAAAAGTATTCTCTTCATTCTTTCACTGACCAACACAGGACCTACTGTGGCATTCCACTTTCACTTTTGTCCAGAAATAACAAGGAACCATTGGTAGCCACTTCCTAGACACAGTCCATAAACTAGCTCCATATCCCCATCCAGCAGCATCATTGACTAGCCCAAATTTTAGCAGTTTGTCTGCAATACCGTAGGCCTTGCTGATTGCCTTGCTGGAATCAGTGTACATGCCATCCATAACATTCCCCTGATCAACCAAGCTTGAAATTTTTATCAAACAAACAAAACATAATAATAAAGCAAAGGAAAGAACTTCTCTGACATATACATGGAGAAGCTAGAAACCCCTGGTGTGAAGTTTATGAAAAAGAACAGTGGTGTAACATTTGGGAACACTGTCTTTCTCCACTCAGAATGAAACATTCAGAGAGCTGGACTTCTCCTATTATTCATATATGAGCTATGCAGTAAGATGTATCTTCCTTGCTCCTCTAGACCAGTAGTTCTCAAACTGGGGTCCCTAGGTGTTCTTGGACTGCAGTTCCCAGAAGCCTTCACCACTTGCTGTGCTGGCCAGGATTCCTTAGATTTGCAGTCCAAGAACATCTAGGGACCACGTTCAAGAACCACTACTTTAGACAGTAATGAGAATATAAGCATATCTATTAGGTTTTTATTCTTCTATAGGCAGTTGCTTATATATAATGTCTATTTAAGTAAAGAATTAATGTAAGAATTAACTTCTTCACATTATGTCTGATAGGGGATTCTATTTAAATTGAAAGGTTGCACCAGTGGAAAATGACTTACAAGATAACGCCTTATACACAATGCTTCTATCTGCAATTATGGATGGTGTAAGGAAAGAAAATCAGAGTAAAATTGGTAAAAGGACGTGATTGGACAGCTTCATAAGCATGTGCATGATTACACTAGAAAGAGTCATTTCAATTAAGGCAGTCTTCCTTAAAGTGACTCTTCCATCTGCTGGAAGACTGCTCCAGCTTAGCACCCCAAAATATAAGCCTTACAGCAGGACCAAAAAGGTCCATCTTGGGCAAGGATGCAGCATATTTTCCCATGTGTTGTGTAATAATTGGGAAATAGATCATACTGGACTGTTCCACAATTGGTCCAAATTGTGATCTATCACACCCCAACAGAGAAAGGTGGACAGAGGACAGGTTTGTTCTGGGGGTGGCAGAAATCTAGTCAAGGTTAATTAAACAACATAGAACAACACAGTAATTAATGGCAATGGACTGGGTAATTTTCAGAATGCCCATAAACTTAGCATATGTTCAATAAATTATTTAATTAATCTCCATACACTGTAAACCTCTCCAACAAAGAACCACAAATTATGGATATAATTCATAGATAGAAAGAGAAATCTGGATGTAGAGGCATGGATTTTGCTTTAGCATAACCTTTTCTTTTCCCAACCTGGCACCCTCCAGAGTCACCCAGCCTGATGTGAGCCTTAGAGTCCAACCCATTCAATGGGAAACATGATGGGGAAGATCAAGCTACTTACAGGGTCTCGAACCAGGATTAAATAAATAAATAAAATAAATAAAAATCAGCCTTTTCCCAACCTGGCACCCTCCAGAGTCACCCAGCCTGATGTGAGCCTTAGAGTCCAACCCATTCAATGGGAAACATGATGGGGAAGATCAAGCTACTTACAGGGTCTCCAGGAGAACCAGGATCACCCATGTTGCCTTTTTCACCTTTTCTTCCTCTTTCTCCTGCAGCTCCACGGTCACCCTGGCAGTTAATTACAGCACAGAACATATGTAAAGCACTTTAAGTGTGATCAACTAGCTTTGTTTGAACAGTCATTTGCTAAGAGGAAAGACAGTGCAGTATTATTCCAAAGATCATTTCCCTTTACAATGAAATTGACTATCATATAAATCAATGGGTAGGGAACATTTTCCAAGTATAGCACCAGACTCATGCAATGATGAGCTTAGGCCACCTGTCTGTTTACTTGATCACTGACCATACCAAAACATGCTCAAACAACAACCTACCCTGTTTCCCCAAAAATAAGACCTAACCTGAAAATAAGCCCTGGTATGATTTTTCAGGATGCTTGTAATATAAGCCCTACCTCCCAAAATAAGCCCCAGTGAAGTGAAACCCCTCCCTCCACCATTGTGCAGCAACCAGAAGATGATTACATGACTGTACTTGAATAAATGTAGATTGCTGTACGTGAAAAAAATAAAGCATCCCCTGAAAATAAGCCGTCATGTGTTTTTTTGGAGCAAAAATAAATGTAAGACCCTGTCTTATTTTTGGGAAAACACGGTATTTGCTATCCAAGCCTTTCCCCAACCATTCAAGAAACCTTTGGCTTTTAAAGTATGATGTCACAACCAGTAATGGTACTGTCACAACACCTGTGACTCACGACTCATATGTTCACGGATATTGAGAATTAGGCAGCTTCTTGTAAGTAACAAAAGCACAGTTTGAATAGAGAATACATTCTCACAAGCTGGGGAAAAAAAAGTAAGAAGAGGTTCTAGGTTCCTGGAGATCTAAGGGGTGGGATGCCCAGAAATAGAAATTATCTTAGAAAAGAGGAGAGGTTTACGACTGGATAGAAAAACAGTGTTCGCAGGGAAGAATAAGTGAAGGTCAGAATAAAATAAGGGAACAGGAGGTAAGGAGGTGAAGAAAAAAGGTCTACTAGCCAAACAAACAAAAGAGACATCATAAAAACCCCATAAGGTTTTTAAAGATGAAAGACAGGGAGAATATTGGGGGTTTGAAACGAGACTGTTAGGTAATGAATATGAAGTTTGCCTATCTTGACACCAGGCCTGATGAATGCAATAGAGATGCTTCCCCCCCACCCCCAAGTGTTTGAGGACCTATGTGGGTTTTTCTGAACAGCAAAGTAGCAAGAGCAATCCCCACATTCTTATTCATAGCTGGCACCTTCTGAGGCTGTGAGAATGGTTACCAAGCGCTAGTGGGGTTGTGTAACCTGCTTGCGCTTAAACAGAAGAACAGAAACGGGAGTTCGTTTTTGCACCATGAGCATCACTGGACACAAAATTAACTCCCATTAATCAAAATCCTGTTGCACAACTTTACACCCACAAAAATTGACTATTGACTCAACTCTTTGCTTTAATGTTTTCCTTCTTTTTCTTGCACATTTCACAACACCTGAACTATCTCCTCATTTCAGGAGATCATTTAGTTGTGTGTGTGCATGTGTTACGTCAACTCCAAAGCAATTCCCAGCAGCCCTAATCAGGCTTCCAAACTAAGAGCCCGAAACTGCAGCCCTAATCAGGCTTCCAAACTAAGAGTCCGAAACTAAGATCCCCCCCAAAAAAACCCACAACAACCACTTCCAAAGTAACTTAGGTATTTGGAAAACAGTTTTACCAGTTCTTCTCCCTCAGACAGTTCCCCCAGCTAAACAACCATCTCAACACAGGCCTTCATAATGCTATACCACCTCTCCAACCACTCTACCACACTTAGCATCCCATGAAACCCTACTATACTAAGAATTCCCACCAGCATGCATGTTAAAACACACTGGGTCACTATAAGTCCGTTCTGATTTGATGGCACAGAGCAGGAAACTGATGGTAAAAGGAAGCCACAGCCTTGCATTTCCAAGAGCTGAGCAGGGCTGCTGAGGGCAGGCCTTAAAGAGGTAACTCACTCCTACGGTCACCATAAGTTGGAGGCAAATTAACAGCATGTAACAACAACATTGTTAGTAAAAAGAGAACAGATACTTTAAAAAAGATCTACCTATGTTTATTCTAAAATGTTTGTGTCGCATTATAGCCTGTGTTTGCTTTACAGAACTACACAAATAGTTAAAACGGACCATAGGGGTAGTTTCCTTAAAGAAGTAGCAACATTAGTCTGTCTCAGCTGTATTGGGAAAATTAAATGGGGGGGGGAGAAAGGAGGGGGAAGCAAAATATTATGGCACAAGATTTTTACATTGAAATCAATTCATTTGTCTTTAAAGTTCCAATATGGATGCAGTCCTTTCTATACATTTTCCACAGGATACCTTGGGCCCAAGAAGCCCTTCTCCGGGAGCTCCACGGGGTCCTATCATTCCTTGAATTCCTTGCTCACCCTAAAAATTAAAAATAAAAATGGTATTTCAGCCTTCTTTTGCCATAGAAGCAGACACTGGAATCTGTTACGCCCAGGACTTGGGGCTTTGTATGACACACAGGCATAGAAATGAGCAGCACCTTTTATCCACCAAACTAAAATGCCAAGAATCCTTTTGTAAGAGACCAGTTCTGGTTGGTTTTTGGAAAGAGGGTGGTGAGGTGTTCCATCCATCGGCTGTCTTGTTTTATATGGTCCCCTCCCTTTTCTTCCCCCACCCAAAATTTTATGAGGTAAAAGTGATTCCAAGGCCTACAGTACAAGCCCTTACAATATTAATTAGGCCACAGTACTAAGGTATTATGTTTACCTGCAGTATATTGACTTGGATTACATGTCAATTACATGAGAATCAATAGTTCTTGGCACTGAATTATTGGAGAAGAAACGGAGATTGTGATTTTCCTTATATTTATTTATTGGGACAGTCCAAAAGTCCGCCTTCCCTGCTCCATTACGTGGGGACACTGAATGCTAGAAGTCTGGGTACCTTTGGCCCCTGGATGCCTTCGCCGGGAGGTCCCAATGCTCCAGGTGGTCCCTGCCGTCCAACGTTACCCTGAGTGAAGAAAGGGGATCACAACTTTAGGAAGAAATGCCTGTAAGAAATAAACACTACCGCATTTATGTTCTTTCTGTTTCAAAAAAGAATCTCTGCAAAAATGGAAGTTTCTTGACATCCTAGTGAACATCATGTACAGCTTGCTTCTAACCATGTCTATATTCAGAATGATCACTTCCTTTTATTGATACTGGTTTTCAAGTAAACATTTAAAAACAGTTCCCTTACAATCCTAGGTATATTTGTTTGGAAATAAATCTTATTGAGTTCAGTGGGGCTTACTCCAATGTAAGCGTGTGTGAGGTTGCAGCCTCAGACCCTAGATCAAACTGCTATTTGAGCAGGCCCATTGAATCAGTTACAGACTGATAAATTAGTACTTGTGAAAATCCCATTGACTGGACAGGTTTCACACTGAATAATCTTGTTAAATCTTCTGTATTATTTACATTATTCCTATTATTAAGGCAAACAATGACATATAGAAAAGAGTCATATTTTTGAGAGATGACATTCCAACTGAAGATGTAATTCTTACTTACTTTTGGTCCTGGAAGGCCTTCCCCTGGTGGTCCTGGGAGCCCAGCTGGCCCTCTCGTACCTGGATCACCCTAAAAATTTACATTTGTAAGAATTTCACAATTTCATTTACTACTAACAGTTAGTTGAGGAGCATTAAAACCCTGAACCTGAGCGGAGAGTTGCAACATGAGGAAACAAGAATATCTTCTTCTAACTGGCCACCATATTAGATTCCTTAAATTTAAATGGATTTTGCAGTGCAAATTTGTTTCCAGGCTGCCCATGTAAGTGATACTGCCTAGTATCCTGTTGCATACTTCTGCCCGTACAAAATGAATAATGTCATCTTCAATGCCAGACGGCGACATTACTTCCTTTTTCCCCAGGGTGCTTGCAATATCATCTCACTGCATGCGAATTGTGTGCCTGTCAAAATTGGGATCATTCCACTAATGATGACATAATTCCTCCTGCATGGGCAGAACTATGCAACAGGATACTGGATATTGAGTCATCAAAATGTATGACAAAAACAAACCAAAGGCAAAAGTACCTTTAAGACCAACAGATCTGAGATTCTGTGGATAATAAATAAATTTATTCGTCTTAAAAGTGTGCCATTGCACAACTACCTCTCTGAAAACAGAATTATCAGCAAATCTTTATGTGGAAGCTGCTTTTCTGCTTATATCTCACTTTTTGGATCAAAGTATCTGGACATAAATATTATTACTGCCATATAATTTGGCTTTTTGTGAGCTACTTGACAGCCAGTCTCGCTTTATAAGCACTAGATTCTAACTCACTGGCTTCTCGTGGACTGTCTCCATTCCTGGCTACCAGTATACATTACAGATCTTGTATGAGGGCATGAAGGATTTAAAACATGTGCTGAAAAGGACTTTTTTGAAGATAAAAGAAATAACCCTTAATGATACAGAACAAATATTTAGAAAAAAAGCTCTAAATGGTACACCGTTGCTAACAATAATAGCTCATTTATGAGAAAGCAGTCTAGATAAATTCCTAGTAATAATAAGAGAATATGTGTCTGTCTCTTTTCACCTTAGCTCCAATACTATGATACCAAGACATGAGAAGCTTGGTGTGGATACAAAGGGGATCCTGGACCATGTATCATGTGGTAGTTTTGCTTTTAGAATGTATTCATGTTAGTCTTATGTAAATTGGCCTGTAGCCTCCAACACCATTATCAGTCAACATGTGGCAGGCTAATCCCTTTAAATATCCCTACATCTTTCAAGTCATTAAATGCAGACTTCCCTAAGGGCAATGTAGCTGTAAATCGGGGACAACAGCTCCTCTTCAAAGTGGAAATGCTCTTAAGAAGCCAACTTGTAAAAGAGCGATCAAAAGAAGAAGGCGCAGTGAGAGGAACCGATAACCCAGAGTTAGACCTGAGGAAGAGGAGCAGCAATGGCTGCATTTAGAACAGGTGGGGCTCCAGAAGGATAATTTGCATTGGGAAACGCTGCATCCAGAGCTGGAAGGACTTCAGAGCAACACCGTGTCGATTAGAAGCAAGCAAAGGAGCAATGGCTGGAACCCAAAATGAACTTCCCCAGTGGGAAAGAAAGCTGTCGTCTCCTGCAATCTTGCCTTGGGTGGTGGTTCTGATCTGTCAGTTATAACTGGCTGAATACCAGCCTCTTGTACCCAGTGCCACACCATCAAAAGGAAATGAGAACCTCCAGGGGTGTGTTGTTCAGGTGGCAAAGTCCAAATGTCCTACAAGTGTTATAGCCCATTGTTTTGCCCACAGAGGACGGAGAAAACAGATCTTAACTCTGCCAGCTCCACAACGTTGCTTGAAAGCTTTTGTATATCATAATGTATGGGATCTTCTACCACATATGGAGTTGGTAATTGTGCTATTTATAGCAGACAGTGTTTGAAGAGCAGCTTCTGATTCTAACAGCGTAGTCCCCCCAAATCACTTTTTTTTCTAAGCTATGGGAAGCCTCCCAGCCATTTGACAGTGTACACGACAATCAGCTCAAAAACCCTAACCTGATATTTTTATTTTAAACTTTGAGGTAGTACCTTTGGCCCAGGTAGTCCAATGCCCTGAGGGCCTTGTTCTCCAGGAGCCCCTGGAAGACCTGGAGGACCCTAGAATTGCAAAGTACATTGATCAATTGCTAATCACTTTGATATAGCATGCATCCCAGGCTTCTTATTATAGTACAGTACTACAGTATGTTATTCGAAAGATTGTGTTTTGAAAATAATGCCACAAACATCTTGTCGAGACTAAGGTGATGGGAACTAACCTGGATTTGTAATACAGTACTACCCTGAGGTGGGGAAAAATCTGGTGTAAATGTTTTTTTTTAAACAACACACATGGAATATTTGAAAAAAAAATCTAACTCAGGACTAAGGAAGAGCAGATATTTCAGAGAATTGTGGAGTTACCTTCTATGCACGGGTGATGTACAGAGTGAGAAAGGGGCAGAATGAAGACATACTGTATATGGCAATTAAGACCTCTTATGAGTGAAGATTTGGGGTAGTGTATCAATAACTCAGATTCAAACGAGGCAGTATGCTTGGCATCTATTCAGTCCTAATCCATAGTTTTTCCTCCCCACCAAAGACCCTTTTACTTTCAAAAATGTGAATTATAGTCATCTAAAAGGGTAGGCGAAAAACAGATGTGAATCCTTCTGTGTGCATACTTACGGTTGGGCCTGGATACCCATCTCCCTTTGGTCCAAATGGTCCAGGTGGTCCCTGATGCCCACGGTCACCCTTTTTTGCAAAAAGAAAACATGCCCATTCCATTTACGATTGCATATGAGAGGTATTTTTTGCCCACTTTGAATGAGTTTCCAGTTATTACCTTGGCTCCTGGAATCCCTATTCCTTGTTCTCCGATTGGGCCAGGCGGTCCAGGCAATCCGACATCACCCTTCAGTTTAAAAATACAAGGCAGTTGTGAAACAAGAGCAAATATCGAGGAAGACGAAGCAAAGAGCTAAGTAGGGACGAACAGAGCTGCAACTTTATTAATTTATTACAACAAATTGGTAGCAAGACCTGAAGTCCCTTCAGGAACAGAAGCAGGCAACATATTACAGACAAGGCTGCTCCTCCCTGGCCTGGCACGAGCAAGGTAACTCCGGCTTGTGCGAGGGTGACTACCTCTTGTTTGAGGGAAGCTCTCCAGATTTGCACTCACCTGTAGTTTACCACACTTTAGAGCCTCAAGAGTGGTGCTTCATCTTGACCTCAGACTGTAAGGGTGAATGCAGGGAGTTCCCTCTCATCCTATTGTTTATTCTTGAGCAATTGGTATTTGAAAATCAAAAAGTATTTGTTCATTTGTTTCAGTTATTTGCACACCACCTGAATTAGTGCAAAGCCAAAACATGTGTGAGTGCTTTATCGCTTTGATTTTGCACTGCTGAAGGGTCTTCATTTTCCTGTGAATTTATCTTCATCTAAGGGTTGTAGCACATGTGCCAAAAATCCTGTGAGTTAGGAATTTCCACCATCGTGACGTATGACAATCACCGAGACATGTCATGATGGTTAATTTTAATGTGTGGAGGTGGTGGTTTTCAGAGTACACATATGCATAAATTAGACACATGCATGATTTTGCATGATGATCAACTTGAATATTTCCTGCTTTAAAGGAAGAGATTCCATGCATGATTTTTGTCACCTCTGAAGTTTTAATGTATGTATCTCAGACTTGAGATTTTTTAAAATATTACATAATTCTCTAGATGAAGATGTAATTGCAACTGATCGTTAACCTCATCACAACATTAAGTGGCAAATTAGACACACGTGGTGAATACTGTGGAGTAAGAGAAAGACAGCTGTTACCTTTGGTCCCATAATGGCTCGTCCTGGAAGACCGGGCATTCCAAGGCGTCCGGGAGCACCCGGTTCACCCTGTCATAAGAAGCAAAACAGTGGTGGTTTCCTCCAGTAAATATAGTGAAATGAATGGGAAAGGTTCAAAAAGGTGAAGCTTTTTCAGAGAGAGTCTCTTGTGTTTCCTAAACACTGTACAAGGAAAGCTGGGTTTCCTCTGTGGCTAAAAATACATGTAATCAAAGTTTTACTAAGAAAACTCAAATTCTTTAGAAGGAAATGGTGCCCTTTGCAACTGTACACGTTATACAAAACTTTGGGCACAGTCAGCACCTCAGCCTCCAGCCTGGGAGGGTTGGGTGCAATCCATGACAGCTTGTGCCTCAGCAGGAGTGTGCCCACATCCAAAAATTGGGGGGGGGGGAAGACATCCCCTGTGCTGTGTCACAAGCTGCCCACAGTTGTTACTCAAGTCTACACTCAAATCCTATCATGCATCCTTGAAGCATTAAATCACATCCCCATTGAATTCAATTGGTTTTCGTGTATTCCTGTGTAGACTAGTTGGATGGAATAAAAACTACAGCTGGGGTGGGGTGGGGTGGGGACAACACCTAGTGGTCAGAGAATCACATATATTCTTACCCTTGGAAGGCCACACCCACTGTAGGGACCCACCACCCAAAATATATGTAGAAAGGTCCTTTTGTTAAAAAACCCCACACCCTTTCACATACTCTACTGATCAGGTTTTTTTAAAATAGTTGCAAAAAAACCAAAAACCAAACCCACACCTGTGTGTGTGGGATGTTGGGAGCCCCTCCACTGAAAAATTGGCAAAAATGCCTCCTATGAGCAAGAAGGGGCACAAGGGGACTTCTTGAGTAACTGTTGGTTTTTTTTAATTAAAATCCAGGGGTGGGGATTTGGGCCCCTGAGGGCCTTATGCTGCTACTAGGCTTACACCCGTTCTATCCAGGCCAGGGGTGTCCAAGCTTTCACCTTCCCTGGGCCACTATCTAGGCCATCCAACACACAAGTAGTTTGCTAAGCTAAATAAGTCCAAGTACTTTGCTTAGCTTCTAATATTTTCTTGTAAAGAAGCATCCTGGTGTTTGCAGGGTAAAACAGTGTTTGGTGCAAGGGGAACATTTATGTGGTTCATTTCCATTTTAAAAAATGGTAGCTAATGTTGTATTTATAATTTTTTTCTGTGAGAGATGGCAAGAGAAACTTGAACCACCAGGTTCTTGCCGTTTTCACTGGACAATAACAGGAATGCTAACATTGAAAGAAGAAATGTAGCTAATGTTGTATTTATAATTTTTTTTCTGTGAGAGATGGCAAGAGAAGCTTGAGCCACCAGGTTCTTGCCGTTTTCATTGGACAACATTGAAAGAATGGGTAGAAGAGCAGCACTGAGATTGTGAGAAAGAAAATACCACAAACAGCTTTCCTGAATGGCAATGACAGTCACTGTTACAACCTAAGGTAAAGGTAAAGGTTCCCCTTGACATTTAGTCCAGTCATGTCCGACTCTAGGGCATGGTACTCATCCCCGTTTCCAGGCTGTATAGAGCCAGCGTTTGTCCGAAGACAGTTTCCGTGGTCACGTGGCCAGCGCGACTAGACACAGAATGCCGTTATCCTTCCACCGAGGTGGTACCTATTTATCTACTCATTTTACATGCTTTTGAAATGCAAGGTTGGCAGGAGCTGGGACAAGCGACAGGAGCTCACTTCGTCATGTGGATTCAATCTTACAACAAGGTCTTCTGACCTTGCAGCACAGAGGCTTCTGCGGTTTAACCCACAGCGCCACCACATCCCTAAGAGACAAGCAAACTAGCCACTTACAACCTATGAGGCAAGCAAACCTTAACAGGATAACACAAGGAGTTCCTTTTTTAAAAAGCAATCTTATTTGCTCCAGGCTAACATTCCATACCTTACTATGTAGGTATTTCCCCCCTTCACTCCACATAATTAAAAGAGGAACAAAAGAAGCTCCATAGTCAGCGCCAACCAGCTGATGACCATGTTGGCTGTGGAGGGTGGAAGTTGTAGTGCACTGGGAGGGCAGCAGCTTGTAGAAGGATCTCCACACCCTTCGACTGAGATCCTTCTCTCCCTTCACTTTTACCCTGGCACTTTCCCTTCATTCCTCATTTGGCATAGTCTGCCACAATCAAATGCAACACGTTGTCATCCTTTGCCCTTGCCCAACGAATGTCTTAAAAGTAAAGAGCTGGACTGTGGTGTGGGGAGGAGGAAGGTGGCTTCTGATGGCTATCACATTTTTCAGGGCAAGGGAAAAATGTATGACAAACCTCAGGCCTAGCTTGGCCGTACTCAGCCTGCCCGACTGCACCCATTTCTGACACCTGACATTGTAAAAATGAACAATAAAATAACAATACTTTAGCCCCAGCAGGTCCAGGTACTCCAGTTGGTCCCGATAATCCACGTATACCTCTTTGACCTTGGTCACCCTAGGGGTAAAAATGTGGATTAAAAAAACCCAGTAAAACTATAGTTGGATGATTTATACAAAATGTATTTTAACTCTGTTGTAGAATTTCTACAAAGACATTGTACCACACAGCAGAAGGAATTCAGACCAGTAAATTTTAGTTTTAACAATTCGGTTGACACCAACTCTGCAGATGGAACTTCTATTTTGGTGATTTTTCTTTTTGGACAACCAGAACACAGGAAACATACTCCTTGCAAGTCATGCCTACCGTAGTTAATCAACGTTCATCTTTTAAAAGGAAAAAAAACATTATGCACATGAGGAGACAGACCTTCATTTTGGAAGGCTAAAACAAAAAGTTTCCATTTTAAGGGCTCTCTCTCTTGTCTATAGCAAGTGTCGTTATATCACGACAGGCGAAGGGGAAGTGCTTAGCTAAAGGTGTGGTCACAGTTGAGCCCACGGGCTTACTGGGAAGTACAGGCACAGAAATAGCTGTTTTTGTAAGCTTAGGGAATGACACATAGGTGAAAAACAAGTGATGAATACACTAGTCCAAAGGTGCTGCCTGGAAAATTAACGGTGCTAGGCAGACATGTCTTAAAAACTTACATAAAGCCTATGTAAACTGCTATATTTTGGAAGTGTATGCAAAATGCCTCTATTCCTCTCCCCCGACCATGTGTTCTTGACTCTTTAAACCACAGTTGGAGTAAGGTCTTTCCACGAAATAGTGCTAACGGGGGGCTTCATTCACAACTGTAGATGTGTATCTTTGTGAAACTTATAGCATATGAAGGGAATTGAAGCTGTGAGTAAGTGCCACCAGTTGATTTCCTCTCTCACCTTGGCCCTTGCCTTTCCGTGGCCATTTTATACCTAGCTCAACTTAATACCTGTCTCATAAACCACTTCAGGAAAAAGAGATTGAGGGCTCGGTTACATGGAAAAAAATTGATTTTGAATCAGGTTTAGCATGTTCAAAATCTATGTTAAAATTGCAAGTACACAATGCACAAGAAAGTGTGGGTTTTTGGTGCCTGAGAAGCATGTTTTTTGGTTAGAGAGGTATTTTAAATCGCTTGTTAAATCAATTTATTTTGAATGATTCTGGCATATGTGAATGTCTGTGTCGGTGTAAATTTTGTCTGTATGGTCTGTCAAGTAATGGATGCCAGGACCATGGATTTGGGGCTGCAGGAGAACTTTGCAGTCTGATCTGAAAAGAGAGCCAGCAGAGAAAGAACATTTGGGTGGGCAAAATCACTCCTTCCCTCACAAGTCTAGAAGCTGCTGATCTTGTCAATTTCTCTGGTCGGTTTCTCTTTGCCACAGTTCTAGAAGCCAAGGTAGCTCCTTTGACTTACATACAACAGAATTTAAAAATGGTTTGAAAGTTTTGCCAAGAGGATGCACTTACCAATCTGAAAACCACATGACTGCCACATGATTTTAACCTGACTTCCAAAACCACAACTGATCTCCTGATTCATTTTCATAATGTAACTGCACTGTGAGATAGCAGGCATGGGAATGTTCCTGCCCATGGTATCCCTGTTTGAAATCACACTCCGTTTGAACGACCACCAGCGCCACTTTGCAGATCTTTGGTGAAATCCAGTTTCTAAGATGTGACACAGTTATAGTATATAACAAGTCCCTGTTTTTTTCATAATAATTCCACAGTAAATTAACCAATAAATTCTTGCCTTTTCACCCTGTATTCCAATCCCAGGAGCGCCTTCTGGGCCTCGGAGACCAGGTAACCCGGGTTCACCCTGTAAAGATAGAGTGCTAGTAGAGAGACATGTACATAGTTTATGGGAATGTCTACAAAAAGTGAAGATCACCAAATTGGTTATCTTTTATTAGAAAAAATAGTGTTATTCATCAATATAGATTTGTGTGCACTAAAGTGATTTAGATACAGAATAAAATCTCTCCTTCTAGTCTCCCTGTCCCCCAACCCACTAGATGCCCTTAAGGAAAGTTGGTTCAGCTTCATTTGCACTTTGGAATCATAAAGATGATCTTCCTTGCATGATAGCTGCAAAGATCACAGTAAGATCATGTTTCTGAAGTGGTGCGTAAACAGTCTGACATAGACTTACATCAGCTCTGATATCACGACGACGTGTTGGAATTTATGTAGATGTAAAGATATATGTCATCTCAGAACGGCAGAGCTGGAAGGTGCTCCGATGGATCATGGAGTCCAGCCCTTCTCAAGGCAGCACAGTGGGGGAATCGAATTCCCAACCTCTGGCTCCGCAGCCAGAAACCAAAACTACTGAGCAGTTTTGTTACACATGGATTTGTATCCTCATATCATGGAGACATAGGATAAAAAGGGTAAAAGGTGGAAGATTAACCCCCATTTGACTCACCTTCAGCCATTAAACATTATTCAAAACAGAAAGGATCCAGAATGCCTGTTCTGTACAAGGATATTACATTGCTGACTGACTTCATTACTACCAACCAATATAAGTGTTAAACAATGGACCTTTCTACAGTATATCCCAGCTTTGACCATGTGGGCTTATCACTGCTCTCTTAGTCAACGTGACATATGCCTGATTTTATACGCATATTAGGAGCCCAGCCCACAACAGCACATGTTAAACATCTCTGACTATGGGTGAAACTTGCTCAAATTTACCATTATAGGTAAAAGCAAAATAGAAGTAAAAAGTTAAAAAAAAGAGACAAAAACATGGTGGTACTTTAAAGAACAACTTTTATATTTTTTTAATGTGAGCTTTCATGGACATGTCCATTTCATCAGACATGAGACAAATTTACTAAGTGATCTACTGCCCCCAAAAGTCTCCCAGACGGCACTCTGAAGTCATGCTGCCAATTTAAACAACAGCGATTTAAACAACTCTCTGAGGAAGAGAAACCAACCTTTTGTCCAGGTGCTCCATCTTCTCCTGGAAGGCCAGGTAGGCCTGCTAATCCTGAAGAACCTGGTTCTCCCTAAAGTAAATGAAAAATGCTGAAGATGCGAACGTACCTAGGTGTTAGCCATCATCCAGCAAGAGCAATCCGTACATCCCATACTGTAACTTGAAATATCAAGACAGTTCCCAGGGCTGGATTTCTCAGTCTAATACTTGTGGATTAAACCCAACCCTCAGAAATGTGGCTTCATGAGTTATCAATCGGAACCACCTTTCTTCAACCTAGTGACCTCCAGAGGCTTTAGATTTCAGGACTGGTGGGAACTGGACTCTGAAGCATCTGGAGAGTAACAAGCAGTGGAAGGCTGCTCTGGACTGCTTAGTGTCTTAAACAGAAATGCATGTATTTGCTGACACCATCCATTGTGCCCCGAAATTATTTATAAAACTACAAAGCTGTTCTGTGGCCGGTGTTTTACAGAATGCCCCTTCTGTTTTTATTCCCATCATCTCATGATATAGATGACATGTTTAAGTATTTCAGCACCCATAAGAGTGTTGATTATAAAATATGAACTGCTTACAAACATTCCTGACACTGGATAAAGGACCACATTGGTTACACTAGAGAAGAGGGCGCTGTTGTCAGCTCATCTCAAAGGGCTAATAGCAAGTTGGAGTGGGTAGACGAGAATTAATGCACCCATGCCCTCTCTTTTTTTCCCCAAAGGAGAAAAGTGAAGTGGGTGCTTGAATTCCAAGCACTGGAGCTGACTGCACCTTCTGTTGCACAGATGCTCACAACACTAGCTCACAAGAGTGGACAGATAATAGAGTAATAAGATAAAACCACAATGGGTTCCTACAGGTTATTCATGTTTAGTTTAGAAAATAGATAAAATGCGATTTTACACTAGGAAAAATTATAATATATTTAATATACAACGTTGGGAATATTTTCTTACTTTGGCACCAGATTCTCCAATACCCCTTTCTCCAGGGGCTCCAGTTTCTCCCGGTAAACCTTGATCACCCTGAAACAGCAAAACAATGAAAAGCATAAGCAGCACAACAACTGTGAATACATCCTTGTGTATTTTTTTAAAAAAATACTTTCAACAGGGCTATAACACCACATCAATACATGAAGCCTCAATTTATTTATCATGCATCTAGCAAACGTCAGAAAAATGTAAAATTCTTTACTCAATGGCTGGGTTTGGACATAACAGTAAACTCTAATTTATCATTTATGGCATGACCTTTTGGAGGAAAACATATCACAGAGCAGGTCAAAAGTGATTTAAAGGCTCTTGAAAAGAAACCTCTGTGTATAAGAAAATTTCATCCCTTTGAGGCATCAGCAAGGCATATTGCTGCATTACATTTTACCATCACCCCCAAACAACCCTATGAGATAGGTTTGGCTGAGAGGTCCTCATTGGCACAAGAATACCAAGTAAACTTTGCGACAAAGCCATAACGTGAAGCTGGGTCTTCCTGTTGCGTATCCAGCACTCTAATCTTTGCATACCATATTGGCTCTCACAGATCAGTTGCTACTATATAAATGATGTCAAGGCTAAAACAAGTTGGTAGAGAAGCAATTCGATAACTAATGTGCTTAATTTGCATAACTACAATGTCACATGTTATACTAATACAATGGCACTTAATTTGCATAATATGCAGAAACCTGGAGTTGGAAAAACTGGATTATGGCAACTCTACATTTTCTATGCCCTTGAAATAAAACCAGCACATCTTTTGATGGTTATGATATTAAAATCAAGCGGTCACCGTTCTGTTTCGGTTGCGTTTGCTCACCTTAGGTCCAGGTAACCCTTGTCCAGGTGGTCCTCTTGGCCCTGGGGGTCCTTTGGGGCCTTCTACACCCTAGTAAATATATCAGAATACTAGCCTTGAAGAAAGAATGCCCTCAAAACAATATAAACAATTTTAAACATAAATAAATCTACGCTCCTCCAGACTCACCTTCTCTCCTTGAATTCCAACACCCGGTAATCCAAGAGGCCCTGGCAACCCAGGTGGGCCAATTTCACCCTGATAAAAGAAAACGTGGTTGCTTACCACTATATGCCAATATATGGCATCTCTTACAAACCACTGAATCCTAATTGGGTGCAGTTCAGTACAGCTCCTTTGAAGGAGCTTGTTTGATGTAGCCTCAGGACAGATGAGCTGACAAATGCATTCGATGTCTTCTAAGGATGTATTTCAATGGTAAGCTTTATACATGTCGACTCAGCTGCAATGTACAGTCCCTCGGTTTCTTCTTCGTTTCTTTCCTAAACTTAACTTTCCCACAGAATCAATCACTTCTTATTTCATCTCACACGTTACCATGTAAAGATGTTAAAAGAGGCTTTGGGATGTTTATTGGACATAAATCTGTCCCCAAACTACAGCATTGTTCTACATCCATTGAAAAAGCAAATTCTTTATTTTGCTTCATTACACCCTTTGGGACCAGTATCAGTCACAGGGCATTCAGGTTTGTCTGGACTTTGAAAGCCCCCCTGGCATATTTACTGCTCACCTTTTCACCCTTGATGCCAATGCCTGGTTGGCCCCGAGGTCCTTTTGGTCCTTCAAAGCCCCGATCTCCCTGTGTGGTAAGCCAAAATTACACGGGAGTTAAGCAAACGCGCTCTGTGCTTTAATCTTGGAGTCTCTTCAGTTCAACCATACTGACGGCTAAAACTGTGCGATAATTCAAAATGCGGCAGATCCAAAAGACAGTAGCTGAAGTGTTTTTCTTCATATCACAGCTTTTCTCTTTCTCCTGGTTACTGTCCAATGTCTTAGTCATCACAAAGAGATGTTAAAAAGATTTTACTATCTCCTGTTTCAGATCTCTTTGGTTCATTCCTAAATTCTCCACATTTTCGAGAAAGTGCAAGCCATGTCTCGTTAAATAGTAAATATAGCCTATCTATTATAAACACACCCAATTATTCACATGTATTGGTGTTGTACTCCTATAATCATATACTTCAAGCAAGCTTTATTGAACTCAGTGAGGCTTATCTTTGAGTACGCACATTTAGGAGTATGTATGGGATTATTCCTCTTCACAGATTGCTGCCTTGTCATGGCGAAGGGCCTTGAGTAATCCAGAAAAGCTATGGGTTATCCTGTGCAGGGACACCCAAGATGGACAGGTCATAGTGGAGAGTTCTGACTAAACACGATCCACCTGGAGCAGGAACTGGCAAGCCACCCCAGTATCTTTGTCAAGAAAACTCTATGAACAGAAACAAAAGGCTGAAAGATATGACGCTGGAAGATGAGCCCCTCAGGTCGAAAGGCGTCCAGTATGCTACTGAGGAAGAGCGGAAGACAAGGAAAAGTAGTTCCAGATATAATGAATTGGTTGGGCCAAAACCGAAAAGACACTCAGCAGCAGATGTGCCTGGAAATGAAATGAAAGTCCGATGTTGCCAAGAAAAATACTGCATAGGAACCTGGAATGTAAGATCTATGAACCTTGGTAAGCTGGAGGTGGTCAAACAAGAGATGGCAAGAATAAACATTGACATCCTAGGTGTCAGTGAACTAAAATGGGTGGGTTTCTCAAGACTCGAACTCGCCTCCGCGCCTGTTTCCCGCCTTTACAACCCAACCCCCCCCGGCCAAAGATGAACCTGGTCACAACTACATAGCAATATTATGGACTTAGAAAGCAGATATTGGTATTCACCCTTCTTTGTGGCCTTTTAAAACATACAGGCTAAAATCCATTTGTTGGTCTTATGTAACAACATAAGAAGAGCCCTGCTGGATCAGGCCAAGAGCCCATGAAGTCCAGCTTCCTGTCTCTCATGGCGGCCTCACCAGATGTCTTAGTCTTAAGTAGGGTAGACCCACTGAATGAATGGGACTTGTTGATTCTACACGTTTGCAAATTCCATGATTTAATGGGTTGATTTTAATTGGGACTAACAACTGACTTAGCTCAAGGAATCAAGATATAGTGGGATTTTATCATAATTTGAAACATCATTGTAACCATTAAAAAAGGGACACTAGTCTAGGAGCATTCAAAAAGGTGTCTAAAAGCTCTTCAACTTTTGTAGTAGGAATGTGCACTGGCATGCTCATTTGTGGAAGGGATTCCAGAGCACTGGAGCGTGAAAGACATGGTTTTAAAATTATCAAAAAACCTCAATAAAAAAAACCATTCATACATCTCTGTGCAGAGCAGTTGGTACTCACAGTATATCCTCTCCTAATGATTCTGAAAGGTGCTTTTAAAGGCATGTTGGCCCCACAATATTTAGGGTGAAAAACAGCACCTGGTATTGTGCCTGGTGGTCATCAGAAACACTCTTTTCCAACAACTCAAGATGCAACTCTACACACAGACATCACCAGATGGGTAATACACTGAAGAACAGATTTAAGGAACTAGATTTGGTGGACAGAGTGCCTGAAGAACTTTGGATAGAGGCTCGTAACATTGTGCAGGAGGCAGCAACAAAAACCATCCCAAAGAAAAGGAAATGCAAGAAAGCAAAGTGGCTGTCCAATGAGGCTTTAGAAATAGCAGAGAGGAGAAGGGAAGCTAAATGCAAGGGAGATAGGGAAAGTTACAGAAAATTGAATGCAGACTTCCAAAGAATAGCAAGGGTTCTACCCCAAGTAGAACCCAAAGTCAGTCCTAATCAAAATGAATGACTTATATGCTGGCTGGATAGCTCAGAAGTTTAGGTCTCTGAGGCTGGATAGCTCAGAGGTTTAGGTCTCTGATTGCAGAACCCAAGGTTGGGAGTTTGATTCCCCCACCAGGGAGAAGAGCCACCCTTTGTGGCCTTGGGCAAGCTGCACAGTTCCAGGGTGCCCCCAGAAGGAAGGAATGGTAAATCACTTCTATTCTCTACCTTGAAAACTCTGAAAATTGGCTTGACAGCACTTCATCATCATCATCCTTATTATTTTATGTTGAAAGTTTATTCAGAGACAGCTCATTGCAGAGGCACAACCAGGCAATAATGGGAAAGTTCATGCTATTGTATATTCCCAAGCATCTAATCCTACAGATTGATAGTGGTACTGCCAGATCTATCATGACAAATCAGCTTTTGAGATTGGGAGAAGCCTGCTCTTAAGTCGGTGTCCTTATTATAGCAACTGACATGCTTTTATTAACTCCTGCTCTATTGATTGAGGAATGCTCCTTACTACCTAGTACAGAATTTTTAAATTTCTAAACCTCTATGTACCTCTTTCAAGCTTTCTGTTTTAAATAATGGTTGTTGGCCTCTGATAGATCAGATATTTGATTTCTTTCTTTCTTTCTTCTTTGGAAGAAATGGAACTATTACACTATCACCTGTGCAGATAAGAAAAAGTACAGAGATATTTGGCAGGATAAAAGTAGAGGGGAAAGTCTACATAAATCTATTAAGCCTCAATTTCTCTTCTATTTTTGGTAAAAGCAGGACTGAGTTCTATTAGCACTGCTGTTCTGGCTAAATTCCAGGTTAACTAATTGCATTGGTTCTGCCTGCTTAAATCTCCTTTGTAGTTTTCAGCTTGTTAATGCATCCTTAACTTCACTAAGCTGTTGTGAAGTGCTGTGGCATATTTTCCAGGACAGAACTACACCGTGTCTTCCAGGGTACCAGTCTGTACAAACATTTTTCAGTTAGCATTTTATATTTATCTAGAAAGCAGACAACAAAATATTATCCTTAACAGTATTACGGAGTAGCTTTCCATGTACGGTAGAGGCACAACACTCATGCATGGAGCGATTGCTATAAGCCTTACAGATGTCTGTGACTGTATGTCTCTACCTATGTGTCTTGCACATGTATGCACATTATCAGTCACCACAAATGGCTTTCAGATCCCAAAACATTGGCCACCAGGGCCACAAAGCACAATCAAGTTTCCTCCACACTCCAGCCCTTGGTCCCTTCAGAAGCACTGAATCCTCCTTGGAGCATTTTACACCATGCTATTATGGGGAAGAAGCCCTCCAGTCACAGAAGGCTCTTCAGCTGTACAAGAGTTTCTGTGAATACAAGTCAAGCCAAGGAGGCCATTTTCATTGAGTTCCCATTCCCAACACAGATCCCTCCATTCTCAAATCCGCTTCAGAAGACTGGAAGCATGTTTTGAGCATTATGGGAGACAGTGCAAAGGGGCTGAAAGAGTAAACAATTTCCACCCACCAAAGTCCTGGTGGAGTAAAGACCCTCCCACAGCTCTAGGAAGTTGAGGAACACAACAGAACACAACCTGTTTCCTTATGTATTTTGATCATACAGAGTTTGGAATAACAGTGGTATGAATGAAACATTACATTACATTAAAATAAATGATATTAAGAACTATATGGCGTTTATGTACGCACCATGGTCCACATTATACTCAGCTTCCGCAGATGTGTAGTTTTGGACTACAGCTCCCAAAATTCCCATGCTGCCGGGGGAATTTTTGGGGAGTTGTAATACAAAGTCAATTTGCGCAGCTGTACTTTGTACCTTAGGTCCTGGAAGGCCTTCTCCCGGAGGTCCCCTTTCTCCCTGAATTCCTTGTGGTCCTTGAGGTCCCTGTAAAAAATATTTGATAAAATTTGTAGAAGTCTAAGAAAAGTGTGGGAATCCATAGGAGAGCAATCAAAATGTGATCTCTGTCAGTCTCTGTGGTTTGGGGCCTAGTTCCAACCTGCCCCAAACTGCTACAGTAATTCATGATACATAAAATACCAGACAGGTATGAACTAGAGAAACAACAGGTTATCTCAGATTATGCTAGCTGTCTCTCCCCCCTCCCCCCCCGGCCCACAGCAGACTAAAATAGCCTTAAAAATGTGAGGTTTCAAGATTTGTCCTGTAATAATCCAACAAAGCAGTCAAGCATAAGATTAACTTTAATAATAGATTCTTATGAGGTCACTTACAGGCTGAGAGTTCAGTAAGCCTTAAAATTATCTGCAGAGGACTTTAAAACAGACACAACAAGCCAGTGGTTTGCAACATGGCAGTGGTTCTGTTTTTCTGTGTCTCGCATCTCCCCTATCTACCAAAGAATCTTAGTTCAATCACACAAATTCCTAGTTTTGTACACCTACACAACAGTGTGTATGCAAAGCTCACAGTGTAGGGTTTGCAGTTAAGTCTCTAGATCACCTGTCCATGCCAGTTTTGTCCTACTTTTGTTCCACACAACCCAGGTTTCCCCCACTCACCCACCCTACCCGGTAGGTGGGACGGAGTGGTGGAGAATATGGAAGGCAAGGTAATAGATCAACTGATACCCCTGGTCATGACAATATCAGCAGGAGTATCTGCATCATTTGGCAGCAACTTCAGCGGTTGTTAGAAGGAGTACGAAACAGGGTTTGTGAACAAAACAGTATAAAACTAGTGCAATAATAAATAATAGGCTTGGATAAGATATGAGATTGGGGTGGGGTGGGGTTTTACGGAACACAGCCCAAACGTTCCATTTCTAAGAACAGCCCCATCTCTTCCCTCACTCTCTGCATCTTTGCCAGGCACCTGAGTGATCTATCAAGGCTTTTGTCTTCACATGGCCACAGGCTTACGAGTGTACCTTTGTTTCTTTCTGATGTATATGTTGTATTTTGGATGAGGAGCCAGTCTGCTCTCTACTCATAATTCTGTGTCTAATTTGCAGTAGATTGGCAGGGATTTCTTAGGCCCAATTGTTCAACAAGAGCAGCAATAAAATATGCCATTCCCCATTATTCCAACCAAATGTGGTTTGGTTTCAGATGTAACTTTTTTCATGTTATTCCACCACCATTTCCCACTGAATTTTATAGGCGCTTCCTGTTCCACTCATAACTCTCTTTTGATTCTCCACTGCTTCTTCCATATTTTTCCTTATCACAGGAAGTCCTCTGAGAAGGAAAAGATGGGACAGCTGTACAGTAGTTTCTAAATGGTAACAGAAGGAAACGTCTGTCTGGGAACACCCAAAGACCGCTGGCAGCAGGAAGTAATAACTCGGAGCGATTTTTGTGTGAAAGAATGGCAAATGTTGTTTGGTAGCATGCAACACTTGTGAGTCACCTTGCGTCCCCTCATCAACAGAAAGGCAGCCTACAAATATGAGAATTAATTAATTAATTAATTAATCAATCAATCCCTGGGCTCAGACTTCTCCAGTTCGATGTCTTTTGCACTAGGTTTCAGTTCGTGGATCTCAAGGTCCTATGGAAAAAACTAAAGTAGATCCTACTTACTACGCATCAACATGGCTGACTCTGAATTACAGTAAACATCAGAAATTCAGCAAACTGTGACATTTTTCTAGTGGCCTTTAACCTTTCAGCTTGGCAACAGAAGCTATCCGAAATAACCATTGTATCTCAAGAACTACACATTCCTTTATGTTTATATTTGCTGTAGCAAATTATAAAATGTCCCAGCAAGGTGTTTATGACTGTAATTTCTGACATATGCTAGAAAATCTCTAAAATTTCCACACCATTATGGACTGATGTCAAATGAAGTCAGAAATACGTTCTTGGTGCTGGTTGTTTGAACCCACATTTTCTACTGACAAAACCAATGCCTCAGAAGGTGAAAAATTAAAATCATGCTACCGTGCCTTGTAACATAAAATGTAGAGTTGTGGCCAAAGGCCGATATATTCTGTTCCCACAGGGAGCAAGCAGACAGATGACCCAACGGGAAGGAATCCTGCATACTGGATATGAGCACTCTTATTCATGACTGCCAGCAATTGATAGGAAAAGAACAATCACCTCCAGAACAACGTTGTGAATATGTAAGCACCATTACTCTTAGCCATTGGGCAAATGAAAGGCTTTTTGAACTGGTACGTACTGGTAAACCTGGTTCTCCAACTCCTGGTGGGCCAACAGGGCCCGGTCGCCCTGTGAAACCAACGTCACCCTAGGGAGAAGAAGAAAGGTTTGTTATTGTCTGAGATTGAAAAAAATGCAGACACTTCTATGATACCATGTTTTTTGGAGCGCTAGAAAGAAGTGAAACAAATCTTTCCCCGTTACTTATGTCTACGGCCTAAATCCAATTGTTATTTCCAAAAAGAATTAGCCCATTGTATCAATGGAACTGAAATTATGTTACCAAATCCTGTGGAGTCAATGGCCAAAATCCTGTTGCTTAGTGCAGGAAATTGCACAGAAGGAGGCCTATTGAATCAAAGGGGATTTGGTGAATCAACTCCTCCATAAATTCCGCAGATTCAAATGGGCCTCCTCCACTTGAGACTTGTCTCAGTGGAACTTAGTGTAGTAAGTTGCACTAGAGTAGGCCCATTAAGTCAGCAGGGATTTGGTGAGTTATCTCTGCAGGTTCCACTGCTTCAAATGGGACTATGCTAATTGCGGCTTACTACGCTAAGTCACCAAATCCCCCACAGATTCAATGGGCCTAGTCTAGTGCAACACACTACACTAAGCAATGGGGTTTCTTCCAGTGGGTCTCCTCTTGTTTGGACCACACTCTCTCTCACCAAAATGCATTATCAATGAATTATCAAGAGTTACAAGCGGTCGTGTTTAAAAAGCTCTGAATTTATTTCAGTTGCATCAAAAGTATGAAAGTATTTGAACTACATCCAGCAAACCTTTCAGGTATCACAAAGACATCATTTATTCTTGCTGAGCGTTCTATCCAGTCATATATTATGGCAGCAGCTGCTCTTCCGTGTTCTTTAGCACAGCAGGGCATGAGATTGATATTTTTACCTTCGGGCCTGGCAGTCCTACTCCAGTTTCTCCAGTCAACCCAGCAGGGCCCGGGAGGCCTCTTTCACCCTTGAAAAATGCCAAAAGAAAACAACAACTCATATAGTTTTTGACTGGATTTCAAAGAAAGCGGGTTTGCGCTTCTCCCACCTCCCCCCCCGAACATATTTGTGGTAAAAAAAAAATCATAATGCTTTAATTCATTATAATCCTGTCAGACTGCCTGAGAGTGAAGGGGAAGTGTGAGTTTAACAAGAATGGGCAATGCATGTAAGCAAAGAAAAACAGAGTAAAAAGTTAAATGACAATGGGGATGAATGCATTTTCCCTCTGTGCTTGGGTTTTAAAATGCTCTTGGATTTTCTGCAGCCTGCATTTTTAAGTGCAATAAACTCATTTTCTATGTTCTGTGATATACATTGGTTAAAAAAATACCTATGTGTATTAAAATATGAATTGGGTGCCATCAAGTCAATTGATGCTTATGGTGACCCTTTCCATATTAGGGTAAACATATACAAAACTAATGCAAATGTTAATTTGAAAAAAAGCCAGAAAGAAGATGGAACAGATTTATGGATGAATGCAGGTGAAATTGCTCTGTTCACACAGTGATTAGCATTTTTAAAAAAGGTTCTGCTTGGTGCCTCCAGTATTTTTCCCCCTTAAGCTAATTGCTGCAGGGAAAAGTGATGTAAATAGGTTCACCTGGAGATACTATTCAGGTGGGAGCTCCATCAACTACAAGGGCAAAGGAACCCAATTTTTCATCCTAGATTACGAAAAGGAAGAAAAGCTACACCTGTGTGTAAGCCTGGTAGTAGAATATGAGGGTGGTGAAAATGGAGACAGAAGGAGCAAGCCTAGTGTTGTTTCCCTTGTTGTATGAGGTGGCTAATAACTTCTGGATGGGGCTTATGATTTTAGCTGGGGATGAATGTATGGAAAATAAAATCAGGGTTTGCATTCAAGACAATCTACCCAGCCATTAGTGCCTAGTGGATTTTGAAATTAATCCCTTGCGTCCATCACTCTTAATCCAACATAATTTGTGAGGCTGAGGTAGACGAAGTGGCCCCGAAAGCCAAAGTTGCTGGTTTAATAGGAAGACTATATTTGATATGGATCTCAGCACAGGCTCCTAAGAAAAACCGTCACAAAAAGTAGAAGAAAGCAACGGTATGAATCTGCTTCATTACTAATCCATGCTCCCATCCCGTGCCATTATCAGAAGAAATGGCCTGGAGTAGAATAGTTTTCTCCTGCCTCTGAGAAGAAATTCGAGTGTCATATAAAGTCTCAACAAGATGTTATTTACGAGGCATCTTTTAATGGCTCCCTGAGGCTTCAAGCCACACAAAACTTTTAATGGGATGAAGTGCCTTGAAGGGGATTTTTATGATGTGGAATGTTACGGAGACTCTGCATTGCTTGTTTGATATGGCTTCTCACTGTTAAATAACAACAAAAGAGCCAATTTTTAAAATTACCCCTTTGGTGATTTTGCAACAGTCTTGAACAGTCTGTGTCAGTATCAAGAGGATGGCTAGGATTTGTACTACAGACAATACTTGAACAGTAGCATCGTTATCTCATTACGTTTATTCCACCAGGTCTGAATGCGCTGTACCATATTTACATTTGTTATTGACAAATACAAAATAATAACTGAAAAACAATTAACTAATATAATTTTAAAAATTCTACTCTATCAACATTTTAAAAATCTAACAACACACAGAGACACTATATTGAATAATTTTGATTCTTAGATTAATAACATCTGAATAACTTGGATTCTTAGATGGAAAATATACTTCTTATAGTTGTGAAATACTGCATTGTGCATATGGATAGTAAATGCATAACTTCTTAGTGCCCTTTTCATGGCATACATTTTCAAGATTTGCATACTTTTTAAAACACCACAAATATTTTCTGTCATTTTTCGTTACACTGTCCACTGGCATATAGAAGATTAAATTCAACAATTATCTTCCACTGTTTTGAAGAACATCTGTTGCTTTCGACTACGACCAGGAACCCTTCATTCTGAACACTCTTGGATCAAAAAGTATGAGGGAAAGTAAAGTGTGGGAAAGTTACAAAAGCAGTTGCAGTGCCTCACAACATCTATAAGCAGAATTTATCTTATGACTCCTACCTTTGAACCTTGCACCCCCTCAGGCCCTTGATCTCCAGGCAGACCTTGGGGACCCTGTTAAGATATGAGGATGTAGTAAAAAAATCTTTTTGTGACTTTAAGATGTTTAGATAAAGAAGGATATGACTTATTTCATATAAGGAACACTATATTGGCTGGCTAGGCAATTATGTGATTTGGCTATATAACTACTACTGTGTGGTTACATTCTGAAGGAAGCATCACATTCAATCTAGTATGAGCTGCTGAAACAATATGTTCTGCTTTTGGCTCAATAAATAATTTGTGTTGCCCCGGGAGTATCTATTATTGAGCTATTGGAATATGCTAGGAAGGTTAGGAAGAAATGTTTTCCACACACGCAAAAATGTACAAACCACCTCTGGTGAAATGCGCATCTCAATGTGTATTTTGCTCCTTGTATCTGGATGGAGACCTTCCACTAGCTTCCTTCGCAAATACTTGGGGCAAAATAAGCTTTTATAGTGCCTCACCGATTGTAGCTCATAATTCTCTCGGCGTGGCCATTACTGATAAATGGTACGGTTTCAGGCAAACTGATGTACAGATAAGGGACAGTTGAGTAAAATCTAAGGGGTGATTTGGCTTGAGAGATAGGGTAAGCAACCGTGATCTGAGGTCAACTCATTTCCACCATCTGTTTGTTACCTGGAGACCTCGGACACCTCTTGGACCACCTGGCCCTTCAGGACCCTGAAAGACAAGAGTGGAAATAATACTGTACTTGAATGCCTGTACAGTACAAAAACAGAGCCAATCTAAGTCCATTCCCAGCCAGAAGATAACTGGAAAATGTTTGATAAAGGAAGAGCAACTGGGATTAGGAAAGCTCGTGTCAAATCAGATCTTTTAAAAGGGCTATTCCAGCCTCTCCCAGTAAGGCTCTTATTCCTAATTTTGTTTACAGAACAATCCCCAGGGGTGCAACAGTCCCAAGGCTACTTGCATGGTTAAAATATATGGATTTTGTTTAGCTCGGGCTGATGACATTATCCACCAACCTACTTAGGCTTCTTTGTTCCCTCTGAACCCAGTTGCAGTTCACACAACGGATGCGTTGGGAGCGTGGATTCTTCCAGTCCCAATCTATTGCTCTGAGGCAACCTTGTTGTAATGAATCCTATTCTAGTAGGTGGCTTGATCCTGAATAGATAGTTAAGTCCTGTTAGGGCATTTTGGTATTTTCTCCATTGTCTAGATCAGAGCCACAACGGATGCGTTGGGAGCGTGGATTCTTCCAGTCCCAATCTATTGCTCTGAGGCAACCTTGTTGTAATGAATCCTATTCTAGTAGGTGGCTTGATCTTGAATAGATAGTTAAGTGCTATTAGGGCATTTTGGTATTTTGTCCATTGTCTAGATCAGAGCTCCCCAACCTTTTCCAAACTGTGGACCGGTTAGGGGGACATGGGGCATGTGCAGGTGAGTGGGGCAACCGTGCGTGCATACGTCGGTGGGCTGGGCACCTGCACGTACATGCGCAGGTGGGCGGAGCAACCATGATTGCGTGCATGGGTGTGGCACCCATGTGCAGGTGGATGGACACCCATGCGTGTGGGGAGGCGTATGTGTGTGCACGCGTGCGTGCGTGCATGCATGGAGGGGGCATGCGGGGGTGGGAGATCTGTCTCTGTGGCCCGGTCCTGCCAAGGCCATGGCCCAGTACTGGGCTGTGGACCAGGGGTTGGGGACCCCAGGTCTAGATCAGGGGACTCCAAACTACAGCCTGTGGGCCACATCCCTTCACCCTGTGTGCGGGAGTGAGGGTGGGTGCATGGTGTGTGCGTGTGGAGGGCAGGTGCAGGGGTGTGTGTGTGCATGCATGCAGTAGTGCGTACACACGTTCCTGTTCATTCGGCCCTCAAAAATGTTGAAAATATTTGTCCTAGCCCTCACAGTCAAAAGTCTGGAGATCCCTGGTCTAGATGGAGGAGTTGATCCAAGGTCTAGATCAGGGGACTCCAAACTACAGCCTGTGGGCCACATCCCTTCACCCTGTGTGCGGGAGTGAGGGGGCGTGCATGGTGTATGCGTGTGGAGGGCAGGCGCAGGGGTGTGTGTGTGTGTGCATGCATGCAGTAGTGTGTTCAAAACTACAGCCTGTGGGCCACATCCCTTCACCCTGTGTGCGGGAGTGAGGGTGGGTGCATGGTGTGTGCGTGTGGAGGGCAGGTGCAGGGGTGTGTGTGTGCATGCATGCAGTAGTGCGTACACACGTTCCTGTTCATTCGGCCCTCAAAAATGTTGAAAATATTTGTCCTAGCCCTCACAGTCAAAAGTCTGGAGATCCCTGGTCTAGATGGAGGAGTTGATCCAACATCATCTTTGTGTGTGTGTGTGTGTGTGTGTGTGTGTGTGTGTCTGTGTGTCTTTGTGTGTGTGTGTGTGTGTGTGAGAGAGAGAGAGAGAGAGAGCGCTTCCAGGTTTCTTTGTTCCTCTGGTGACTTTGCTTATTTTGTTCTGGAGCAATATATATGATCTCTCTCTCTCTCTCTCTCTCACACACACACACACACACACACACACTGCCCTGTAGGTTCTATAACTGCCACCTGGGAAATAGCAAATTTTTATGAGAGCAACTGAAAGTCAGAAACCAAGATATTTTGCTTAGATGTTTCTGTTTTTTTTTTGTTACTCTTGTAAGTGTATAAATATTTCAGCAATTAATTGCATCCCTCAAACAGACCCAATATACCATACCCCACCTATCTGGCCCACCGGACCACATATAAATATTTCAGCAATTAATTGCATACCTCAAACAGACCCAAAAAACTTGAGTGAGGTGCTGTTTAGTTCTCATTATCTGAATGTGTCTCTCTGTGTGTATCCAGTTGTGGAACAGATTTCTAGGCTTTTTTTGCCAAGGATTTTGAGCAGAAGTAGCTTTTAAAGTCAACCCCACCTATCTGGCCCACCGGACCACATATAAATATTTCAGCAATTAATTGCATACCTCAAACAGACCCAAAAAACTTGAGTGAGGTGCTGTTTAGTTCTCATTATCTGAATGTGTCTCTCTGTGTGTATCCAGTTGTGGAACAGATTTCTAGGCTTTTTTTGCCAAGGATTTTGAGCAGAAGTAGCTTTTAAAGTCATGGCTAAAAGCATTGCAATTTGACCCCATAACACTTTTCTCCCCTGCCATCATTCACAACCAACTAGAAGTGTGCAGGTTTTGTTTTTAGACTGCAATCCTCAGAATTCCCCAGGTAACTGTGATATGTTATTTCTGCAGTAAACAAACAAACAAACAAAAAATCATCCTGCTCACCTCTAGAACCAACGGGGCCAGATTTTTGCCCTGGCTGGATGAGCCCTAAGTTTCACAAAGAACCTGTGACTGATGGAGATGAAAGTTGGTGGAATGGGTTTGTTGAGATGGATCTACACGGCTGTTTAAAACAGTGTGGTGGGGGGCTTTTCTTGGGTGCACGGCTATTGAAACTGCCCTGAAGAATGCCACTCCTAAAATTTATTATAACACCCCTGATAATCACCAGTTTTTCAAATTCAAAGAGAGCTCTGCCTCTCTGCTGAGTGCTCTATACCTGTCTTTCATTGGTTAGTGGCAGGTGTTCGCTGCTGTTGATCTGTTTGGTTGGTTGCTAGTATTATACCCAGTAACGAAAGCAACATACACAATTTTATAATTTCCAGCAATTGTAAGTAAAGAGATGTTTTTTATTCTTTTTCCTACAGATGTCTCAGGGTGAGACATTGAAATTTTAAGTGCCAATTAATGAGAAAGGAGTGGAGTCTGGGAAACTTGTAAGTATTCTCCTCTGTGGTTCTCTGAATTTTTCCAGAAATTCTAAACTCTGTAACAAAATATAGTTACTTACTCTGTCACCTTTTATTCCTGGTGTTCCACATTCACCTCTTTCACCCTTAGATTTAAAAGAAGTGGAAAAAATCACTAACATTGTTGTTGTATTTTTAAATGTTTACCTGTTAAAATACAAGCACAGTTCTTCCTACTTTTTTTTGCCTCCCCACCCATTCACACATTGTGCTGCTGAAATGGATTTCAGGTGCTGAATATTTGCACCAGGAATCTGTTGGAATTGCAGAGCATAAAGCAGCAATCACATAATTAGATCCTGACAGTTGTCTGTCATGCATTTGGACATGGCCAGGTTGATGTGTCTGGCGTGTGATGCATAATCAGAAAAATAAAATTGAAAAAGCTCACATGATTGCCCCTAGTCATGGTGCAATATAATGTTGGTCTTTGTTCTTATACTCAGTAAATCAGTATGACTCTATTGATAACTGATAGTTGTTCGAAGATTGTAAGATATCCATACCTTTTCTCCTTTGTATCCAGATTTTCCCTTATGAAGAAAAGCAGAAGTAAAACAGCTTATTGACTAACAATCATAGAAATCATAGAAAAGTGAAATTGGGAGGGGCTTACAAGGCCATCAAGTCCAACCCCCCCTGCTCAGCCGCAAGTATACAATCAAAGCATATCTGCCAGGTGATTACGTATCTAAGTTTTTCTTGAATGCCTCCAGTGATGGAGCACTCACCGACTCCCGAGGAAACTGGTTCCATTGTCATACTGCTCTAACAGTTAGGAAGAAATCTGAACTCAAAGAAAGATACATTGCAATGGGTGAGGAAGGAGCAAAGTCCCTTGTACCAGCATAAAGTATGAAGCATGTATACACCCCATAGTGCTTAAAGCACTCTTTGGGCAGTTTACAATTTAATTATGCAGACTATATAGTCCCCACTCTGTCATGACATGGGTACTCAGTTTACTGACCTCAGAAGTCTGGAAGGCTTCGTCAACCTTGACCTGGCTACCTGAGCCGGTCGGGATTGAACTCAGGTTGTGAGCAGAGTCTTCACAGCAGTACTGCAGTTTAACCATTGCATTAACTGGCCTTGTGCCCACACAAACCACTTAGGCCAGCTGATCTCAGATGTGCTGGCACAACTGCTGAGATCAGCCAGCAGAAGTGCCAGACAAGAGTGGAGAAGGGCTGGAACGGGGAGGAAACGATGTACTCCAGATCCAAACCCCTCTCAGATCAGATTCCCAGACACTAAGCTGGCACAGAGTTTGGGGCCAGGGTCAGGGCAGCCCTAAGGAATTTCCCAGCATTCCTACACTGGGAGAGGTTTGGATTCAACACAGCCTCAGCTGTCATGGTGCTCAGAATGCTCTCTGCCATTTTAGCTAGCTGAGTTTGAGAAACTTAGGGCACTAAGATTTGGGGAAAGCAAGCTTGTTTGTTAGTAGGATACATTTAATCTATCCATTCTGACACGACACAAATGCAGTGTTCCCTTGCTTGGTTCTATCAGAACCACCTGTGTTGCATTTCACAAGTAGAAATCCACTGACGTGGTAAAAAAAACAGCCACGGACTGCTATTTCTGTTTCTCTAGCACCAAACCATGAACATTTACCTCATAGGTTCCAAAGATTTGTCATTTTCCTGCTTCCAAACTTTATTTTGTGCACCGAATAAACTCTTGAACAACATTGGGCAGGACATGGGACAGAGGGAGCACCATTTTAATTTCTGCTTCAAGTAAAACACTGTTTTAGGCTAGCACTGATCAAGTTACTGGCTGGAATCATTCATGTCAACATTGAATTTGTTTTCCATGGCGTATTCCTGTCCCTTCTTGGAGACTGGGAAGAACCTTATGAAGCCAGGAAGCTTATATGGTTTTAAAGTATGGCCATGACAGCTTGCTGCCTGAGTGACTGTCGCAGGCATGATTTGGAACCACATACGTGAACTGATTTAAATGTCCATATTAAACAGAGGAAAACTTTGATTTTTTTAATGGAATCTAAAACTGTCTCTCCTGAACTGCAAGTGTGGGAAATGTCCCCAACTATGTTGATCATGAGATGTGTTCATGTTTTTACAGAACTTAGATGTTTTCTTCAAAGCCCATGAATTTATAATAGAAAACAGCCTGTATTACCTCTACGCCATCTCTTCCTGGAATTCCATTAAGGCCAGGCTCCCCCTAGAAGTAACAGGGTGCTTTGTTATTTTTATTTTACAATACAATGGTGAAATAGATTAAGATCAATGAAAAAGTCACCCATCATTTCCTTTATGTTCAAAATGAACTCTGTATTGTTAAAGATAAAAAGGCAGGATAGATCGATATTCCAGTCCAATCCAGTTCTCTCTTCAAATGAAAATATAATTCACACTCAGAATCTTGTAGGACAGTTTTGATTTAGGATATCTATACATTTGGATAAAACATTCTATTTCAAGAAGTTCCCTTTTATAGGACTAATTTAACTAATGGGACCTCTAGTTGTATTTCATCAAGTGACATGTTACCTTCATTCCCTTTGGTCCAGGACTTCCATCATCACCTGGGCGACCTTTTTTACCCTGACAGAAGAGAAAACAAAAGAGGGGAGTTAGTAGGACACTTTATGTTCCAACTTCTTTGGCTAATCACATACTTCTAATGGCTTTATGTCTCTGTTTTTAAGAAAACCATTAAATGAACTGAAGGAAAGTGACCCAACACTAAGCATTTTAGAATTTATTCCACATACAAGTCTTAAATCAGGTCCTCAGTTAAAGTATGTTGTGCAAATATAACCCTCATTCACCAGGAAGGGCACGTTTTGTGCCTAAAGTCATCATTTGTTGCAGATGTCACATCACACTAGACTTTACAAGGTAGATGGCTTCGGACACTGGCATTTACAGGGCTGTAAACTGTGTTCCTAATGTTAGGAAGGTGTGATGGCAAGAGGAGAAGGGGACGACCGAGGATGAGATGGCTGGACAGTGTCTGCGAAGCAACCAACATGAACCTGACACAACTCCGGGAGGCAGTAGAAGACAGGAGGGCCTGGCGTGCTCTGGTCCATGGGGTCATGAAGAGTCGGACACGACTAAACGACTAAACACAAACTGTGTTCCTAGGCTTCAGCCCCTTGCATTTTACAGCTTTGTTTTACACAGCTGGGACCAAAAGTTGCCCTAACAAAGCAGTTGTATTTTGTCATAGGGGTCCTTTGTCTCAGACAATACAACCTACTGAGACAAAAAGAGAAAGTCCCCTACCAACTCTGGCCCCATTTGAGGGGAGGGGGACAATGGAATTCTTGGTGGTTCCAGAAAATGAGAGATGTGTAGAATAAAACCTAAGTGGAAACCAATTGCTAATCCTCAGTACATGGGGATATTCATGAGGTCAGAAAATTTCCCAGAATTCACTGAAATAAATTTTGTCCATTTGTTTTTTTTTTCAATGCTGGTGCATAAAAAAATTCAGCAGAATGGCCGTGCACCTTAAACACTGGGGATGCCTTCCTAAAAGCATTCAAATAACTTGTTTCATATGGTTGTTGTGGGTTTTTCGGGCTCTTGTTTCATACACACTTATTTTGAAAAACATGAGTTTCATATGGTTGTTGTGGGTTTTTTTGGGCTCTTGTTTCATACATGCTTATTTTGAAAAACATGCTTTTAGCATGGCTATATATTCTGAAATAAAATTAAAAAAAAATCAGAAGAGGCTTATTTGACTATTTTGAGATATTTGCCCAAATCATCCTGAGGTTTCACACCGGCGTAATGCAATTCGTGTAAATCACGACGGTGAAATCACGACACAGGTCAAGAAGTTAGTCATGCTGAATTGTGTGACATGGTGCATGCCAACTCCTTAGCTTACAGGATGTTGCCACTGTGATTCACACCAGCTATGTTACACTGACAGGCATAACTGTTTAGAATTCACTCGTGCTTGTTCCCATGTTAGTGGTATGGGTAGTGCATCTTTCATGATCTGAAACGCACAGGGCTAAATCCAGTTGTTAGTTCCACCTACTGTAACTCTACCAAATAAACTTGATTAGTTCAACCAACACTTATGTAAGTCTCATTGATCTAACAGGCCTACTCTAATTGGATTTCGTCCATGGTGCTTTGTTTTCAATAATATTTTCTCATGTTCTTTGTTGCTACATTACATTAAGTAGGAATGGCAAAGATGGCTCAGTCTTGTGTATATAGATTCCAACTGAATTCTCTGGGAGTGGCAGTGTTATATCACATTTTGCCTCCTGGCTTGCGTGTATGGACTATAAAAATATATGCCAAGGCTCATAGGCACACAGCAGTTTGGAAAGAGATGTCTCTTTGTGCCGTCAGGAACCCTGACAAATTGTCCCCAATGCCTGCCTGCCTCTTTCAGTGGAAGACGTAGCCATATTTGTGCCAGATTTCCTTTCAGAAAATGCAAGTTATTCATTAGTAAAATTGACCCAATATGATATCCTAGTTCACAAGGAAAACTAAACATGAGATGAAAATATGTAATTGAAAGAGAATGGCTACTTACAGCAGGGCCGGGAAGACCCCTTTCTCCCTTTGCACAGTTACATATAGGAGGCTGAGGACACTGAACAAAAAAACACCACAGACATTAGTTAGGACCTTAATCTAGAGAGAAAGATTTACTTCTTTATTATTTCCTGATTATATGCTAAAAGGAGGAAAGGTGTGATATTCCAAAAGCATTTTATGTATTCCCGTGTGAAAAGAAAACTTTATTTTGTATTCAGCGCCTCTTGGGTTGAATTTAATGTTCTGTGCTTTCAAACAAAGGAGTCAAAATCTATATTTTTGCTTCCAATTGTTGAAGCCTCTTGTTCAAATTTCAGCTTTCTACCTGATGTAAAAATGTCATGTTTCCTCCCTCTTTCCAAATAAGGCATTTGCAAATGCCAAGATTTCAGTCTTTGTTTTAAACAATCCAAAGTGTCTCATAGGAATGATATTTGTGCCAGATTTCAAATGTTTATGTGGTGTAGCACAGCTCTAATAACTGTGATAAGGTTGTATTGTATTGCCCTAAGTGGTATTGGAGATGCCATTTCCAAAGCTCTGCCTAGCTCTAATAACTGTGATAAGGTTGTATTGAGATGCAATTTCCAAAGATCTGCCGCTTCAGGCTAACTGGGGACTTTTCTTGGCGATGTCATGGAAGGATCCTTTGCTCCAGAGCCTCTTGTGACAGATTGCATGAAGGAGCAGAACACTAAATCTGGACCACTGGAAGAAAGGGTGGCAAAACAACCTCTTCCTCAAAAGATGGGAAGCCTAGTTCCCAGGCTGGAGGACAAGGCAAAGCTACCATCCGGCCTCACAGAGTGCTGTGGCCATAAACACCAGTGAGGCTGGTGTGATCTGAAGGAGTCCCCTTTTCAAGATTGTGTCAGAAAAAAGTGCATGCATTGGAGCCTTCATTTTGAACAAGCCGAGTTACTGGACACAAGGAAGTCTGGCTCAAGCCCCTGCTATCACTTTGTTTAAATTCTTGACTCCCGCTTTGTTGTAGCATCCTTCATGCTAGACTGTGGGTTGCCTTTTCTTTGACTTTGGATTTCCCTCACAGGATTTCCCTCCTCTCTCATTGGACACTGCTGGCTTGGTGCTTGGGCTATCTTTTGACCCTGCTTTTAGATTCTCCATATGGGACTTGCCTTCTCTTTGCCCGGACTGTGCCAACTAAGCTAGGTCTGATTAGATTTCAGCCTTCAAACCTGTGTGGCTGGAAGAAGACAGGTGAACTTTTGCCGGGACTGTGCCAGTGAAGCTAGGTCTGATTAGATTTCAGCCTTCAAACCTGTGTGGCTGGAGGAGGACAGGTGAACTCAGGGGCTTGGGATCCAGCAGACCCACAGCCATTTCCACCTCATCCCTGGCTCTTCCTTGCAACACTGCATGCAGAGGCCTCCTATGGTGAAAAGACTGCCGGAGATTTATTTACACCCACAGAAGTTTCTTTTGTGGGGGGGAGGGGATAACTGGATCTCTGTGGCAGAAGGATGCTCTTTCCATGCCAACTGGGTTCCTCCCCTCTAGTGGAGGGGTATCTTCACCTCATCTGAATCTCTCTTAGATGGGTTTCTGAGAGAATCAGGATGGCCTAGTTCATCTTTTGCAAGCCTGCGCATAAATCATAATATTATGAAGTGCACCAATGACTAAGCAGATTCAGATTTAGTTATTTATTAGAATATTTTGTAATGTTTGACATTTCGTAACCTGTTTTCTTCAATTTCTGTTCATTCTGTTGAAAGCTATTAGAATATTTATTGGGGGTACTCAATGTGGTATAGTGGATAAAGCAATGGATAAGGACTCAAGGAGCCTGGGTTCGAATCCCAGCTTAGCCATGGAAACTCATTGGGGGTGTGGAAGTGGTAAAACCACTTCTTAAATATTTCACTTACCTTGAAAGGTCATTGTAAAGGTCAAGTCAGTTCTGACTTGAAATCACATAACAATGAATTGGCATATTTTGGAAAAAAATTTAATGGACAGGGAAACTGTTAAAGTGCTGACAAAGCCATCTAGTAATCTATAGGTAACAACAATATTACAATTGTGCCACCACGTTCCTAGTAAAACCACATTTCAGCAATACTACTTCTAATGCCTAACCTACATATGATTCATGACACCTGTAGAAAAGCTGGGAATCATCTGATAAAACAACACTATAAAATGTAAATGTTTGCTTATTACTTTAAGTTACACTAATAGGCGCTTTAAATGCAATCCATTTCCCCCCATCCACAAATAACACTTACCCCTTCTTCTGCCAGATCTTTCTGGGGAAACAGAAATGCATAAACAAAATTAGAGGATTTTTTATAGGTATTAAAGTGTATGTGAGGAAAAACTGGAAAATAATACTTTGCCAGGAAGATGATTAAAATGCAGTCAACAAAGGAAAACATTTTGTGATACCATGTTTCTACTTTGCCTAAAATGACAAAATGTTGATGGCTTTAAGGAAGGCATGATTGGGCTGACATTAAGAGGAGATGTTTTGCTCACTAGCAAATTAGCACCACCCTGGGAAAAACCTCAACTACTGCTTCTTACATCCAACTGGCCAAAGCATTTCCAAAGGTTGCATTTCCAAAGGTTGTGCAATCCATTTGGGCCAGAGCTTGACATTTTTATTTTGAGCACAACTCTCAGAATCCATCAACTGAGCACAACAAATGGCCATCTTGCCTGGGGGCTGCTGGGAGTTTGAGTTCTACATACATTTTCCAAGCTCTGTTTTAGCCCTACTCACAGCTTTTTGTGTTCTGGCCCTTCATGTCAGAGGTGAGGGAGCCTCTGCGTACAGAGGTCTAAGGGCAAAAGGTCCCCTTCCTCAGATATCTACGGTACATATTAGCAAAAATAGAAGAGGAGGATCCAGGAAGAGCTGTGAACCAGACCTGAAGAAACAACTGAGCACCCTTTTTTAACATGTTAAGTGGAATAAATGCATGAAGGAAGCTTCTGGTCTCTGCCAAAACTATGTAACTCAGTTCTAGGCATATACCGTATATCCGAATCTAGAAAAAGTGACTGAATGCTAACTTAAGCACTGAAATGTAAACACGCTGTCCTGGGATGTTAAAGGAGGCATGTAATTTGGACCTGCTGAAATCAAATCAATTTCAGAGGAGCAGGTTTGGTTTAAAATGTTTAGAAAGAGGCTGGTAATCACCACATCATCCCCCTCCAAAAGAATCACTAAAGTAGCCTTCTTGAATTTGACCCCTGAAATTAAGGTGGTGAACCGGGGGAGTACAGCTTTTTTGTGCACCCACATACATGTGATAAAGGAGATTCATAAAACAAGTGCAAGCTTCTCTTTGTTCTGAAGATTTGCCATAGGGGAAAAAAAATCACCACCCATGTCACACACGAAGGGGAAAGCCTACTAACAATGTGGATTGACTGTCAGGGAAGAACATCACATATGCCAAGTATTGAACTTTGACAGCCTGGAAAACAGGATATGCTGCCAATAGAAACATACCCTAGACAACAAGGAAGGCAACATATGAGTAAAAACAAATCAGGCGTGGGTTCTTTTTTTGGGGGGGGCAGGTGTTTGTAGGCAAGGTGACTGCTGATGAAGTCCTATGCAGAGCTTTGAAAAGTTACTTTTGAATTACATTTTCCCAGAATGAACTTTGACAGCCTGGAAAACAGGATATGCTGCCAATAGAAACATACCCTAGACAACAAGGAAGGCAACATATGAGTAAAAACAAATCAGGCGTGGGTTCTTTTTTTGGGGGGGGCAGGTGTTTGTAGGCAAGGTGACTGCTGATGAAGTCCTATGCAGAGCTTTGAAAAGTTACTTTTGAATTACATTTTCCCAGAATCCAGAGGCAACGCTGGCAGAGGCATCCGGGAAGTTGTACCACACCACACCCAAGTTTTTTCCTAAGCTCAGGTCTCTGGTGGGTGAGTGGTCTGCCTGGGGTTGACCTGACAATGTGACGAAGAAGCACTGGAAGGATCCAACTCAATGTTAAGGGGTTGTGTATTCCCTGTGATTATTTTCCCTTAAGACAACGGCGTTTCCTTAAATATACATCCCTCAGGAGTCAGGCTTCCAAATTAAATCTGTGTTTATTTTCTGATAACCAAGAGCAAAAGAAAGCATGCTGGGATGCAAGTTATGAAGATTCTTTAAAAGCATGTCTGAGGACAAACAGCCATCTCTCTTGTTTTTTGGGGAGCAGTGCTTCTAAATAGGAGCTACGTGTGTTTTCTGCTTTGACTCTGAGGGTGCCAGGAACAAAGATGTTGTAATTTCTCACAGTTCTCCAGGACATCTGACATGGCTTTGCTGCAAATGAAAATGGATCACAGTCGGTGGGCAAGGCAGAGGCTTTGACAACTAGTGTCTACAATATTGCAAGTGTCCATTTACTGCATAAAAATATAAAGTGATAGGAGTAAGCAAAAGAATAGGCACAGTTGGCTTAGGTGTCAGGCATAAGATTGCGTCACATTGAGC